TGGCTCATCCTCCCATCACGCTGAAGAACAACAGAGCCAGGTTGGCCTGGGATTTGCTAAATGTGCCGACCACTCTTAGGAACCCAGCTCCCCCTGACTTTCAAAGGGAGCTAGGCCTGTAATGCCATCATCTCCTTTGAAAAAAATCTCAACCTTCGAGTTAATTTTCTATACACTATGGGGCTGCTGGCCCAAGCTAGTTCTTGTTTTGTGAACATGAAGGACCAGGGAGTCATTTCGTGTACCCTGGTGCCTACCTTAAAAAATTATAAACAGTGCATCTATTTAGAAAAATAAGTAGATAATATTACTGATGGTTTAAGATAAAAACATTCTTTGTGAATACAGCTATTTCAGTACTGGCCTGCTATACCAACTTTGTCCCTTAGAGGAGCTAAGGGTTACCTACTTGTACTTTGCTTGCCTGCTTCCTTTCTTCCACAATTATGTTAATGGAGCCAAATCTGTACTCCCTGAAAGCTGGCATGGTTATACTGTTTTGATGAGTGTTCTACATCAGTATGTATTTCCTGTAGAAAGCAAACCCTTCCCGTCACTCCCCGTTCACTTTCAGTTCTGTGGGTTCCAGTAACTGTTTAAATAAGTAGGTTCAAGTTTCCAGCACTCACTAGCTATTACCCTGTTCATTAAGCTAACTGCTGATCTTGTGCCTATGCAGTCAGAGTGCAGCTGTGTTCATCGTATGTCCAGATGAAGACTAACTGGTTTCACATCCTTCCTAGGAGCTGTAATGCTTCTTGAGAGTGGACGATGCCGATATACAGAATAAAAAGATGCCAGTGCAGCTACTTAAGGAGTCCCAGCTGGAACGAAGGGGTTATCAAGACGACATACTAAAAATACAGCAGCATTTTAAACCTGAAGACTTTCTCAGGAATTATCTATAAAGGGAAAAGGGTCAGAGTCTATTTGAATTATATGCTAATTAACACTGAAGTATAGACTGTGCCCCAATTTATGGTGAACTTTACTTACTGTTCCATTTTATTTTATTTGGTGGTGTAAGACATTTGGGAAATAGAAATAATACAAACTGTGGGGAAAGAGTGGTTTTCATGATTGGACTACATGTAACTCAAGTGTTAAAGATGAGTCAAATTCAGCTCTCGGTAAAATGTTACACGACCCCACTGAAGTCAGCAAATACCCTGCTAGAGAGAAAACTGCCACTTTCTCCCACCCCATACTTGTCCTCAGTTGCCACTCTTGAAAATGAAAGCCACTGACAGTACCTTTTGTCTGAGGATCACAAAATGCTTTGCAAACAATGATTTTAATCTCAGCATAGAAAGTAAGGGACATTCCCTTTTACAGATTGGGGAACTGAGATGTAGAAAGTTTAAGTGATTTACAGAAAGTCATACATCAAGTTGATGGCATAGCTAGGAGCACCCAGACTCCCTTTGTCCCAGTCACGTATGTTAGCTACCATCTCTCTTCATATAGACTCTTTAGATTACATTCGCCATGTTAACTAAGTCTTAAGATACATTTATTTTGCCTCTAATATGATCCATTGCTTTTTGTTCTGCCCCTAGTTTCCATTCTCATGATATATAAAGCAAAATGTCTACCTGCCATGGCAATAGACACTACCATAGTAAAATACATTATTTAAGGTTTTATCTTAACGTAAGAGGGTTCCCCCCCCACCCCAAGAAGCAGAAAAAGTTGTCTAAGAAAGGCAAGCTCTGGTATGCTGAGATTTGATCAGTCTTGAAAAGTCAATAGAATTGCAGCCACAAAGAATTATCTATTTAGTCCCAAATTCTTAGTGGGCAGGTAATTTAAGGAAGGGAAGCCTGTGGTCTTCCATGCATAGATATAAATTTTACAGTTGCAAGGGCTGTAACTGTGATTGCACAGCAAATGGCTATTTAGTCTGCTTTGTGTGTCTCCATCACTTCATTTGCAGGGAGAGTACAGTAAATGCAGAACAAGTGGGTAAAAGTTTTAGCACATGAACACTGGGTCTAACTTTTTAAGAGCAGAATTTTATGAATAAGTTATTTCCTCGTTATTAGTGTGTTCAATATATTCTCCTCTGTATAAAGAGCTACACTCCTCAGCTCTTTATACTCACTCCCATTCCAGGTATTTTATGTACGTCCTCAACGCTGTTAGAAGTACTATTTCAGCTTTTCATTTTTTTTCCTTCTCCACTTTATTGCACTCATAGAATCATAGACTTTAAGGTCAGAAGGGACCATTATGATCGTCTAGTCTGACCTCCTGCACAACGCAGGCCACAGAATCTCACCCACCCACTCCTGTAAAACCCCTGACCCATGTCTGAGCTACTGAAGTCCTCAAATCATGGTTTAAAGACTTCAAGGTGCAGAGAATCCTCCAGCAAGTGACCCGTGCCCCACGCTGCAGAGGAAGGCGAAAACCCCCCAGGGCCTCTGCCAATCTGCCCTGGAGGAAAATTCCTTCCCAACCCCAAATATGGCAATCAGCTAAACCCTGAGCATGTGGGCAAGACTCACCAGCCAGACACCCAGGAAAAAATTCTCTGTAGTAACTCAGATCCCACCACATCTAGTGTCCCATCACAGTCCATTGGGCATATTTACTGCTAATAGTCAAAGATCAATTAATTGCCAAAATTAGGCTATGCCATCATACCATCCCCTCCATAAACTTATACCACCCCCTCCATAAACTCTATTCCACTTCAGTCCCCACTTCCCCATATCCGAGACCAACTTCCCTCTAATTTTTGACAGCCCGTGTGCACAAAACAATTTCTTCTGTGCCAATTTTTGTGCGCGTGTTTTGCTGTGCGCGCGGGGTTTAGGATCTGTGTGTGCGCGCCCAGCTTAGAGGGAACAGCGCCCCAGACCCTTCCTCAAAGGCCTGAGCAAACAACTGAGCTCTGAAAGACAACAGATTCATACAGCACTTAGAAAACCACAACGTGCTAAATCAGGGGTAGGCCACCTGTGGCACGCGAGCTGATTTTCAGTGGCATTCACACTGCTCGGGTCCTGGCCACCGGTCGGGGGGTGGGAGGGGAGGCGCCTCTGCATTTTCATTTAATTTTAAATGAAGCTTCTTAAAACATTTTTAAAACCTTATTTACTTTACATACAATAACAGTTTAGTTATATATTATAGACTTATAGAAAGAGACCTTCTAAAAATGTTAAAATGTATGACGGGCACGCGAAACCTTAAATTAGAGTGAATAAATGAAGACTCGGCACACCACTTCTGAAAGGTTGCCGACCCCTGTGCTGAATCTTCTCCACATTCCCTTTTATCAGTGTAGAGTGTCTATATAGTTCATATATAGACATTGTATATATTTGATCAGTTCCCTCACCTCTTGTCTCTGTATGCCACTGTGTTCTAGACTGTGCTTTCCTAGGGGGGTATAGAAAAAAAAGGGCCACAATCCTGCCTGAATTAAAGTAGCACCCAGAGGCTACACATTTCAATAATTCACCATAACAGCGACAATTCCCTACCCAATTAAAAAGTAATTGTGGGAACCTATTGGGAGAGCATTTATTGTGAGCAGCATCAGTCATTTATGATGCAACACAAGGAGGCAGAACCTTCCTATGCCCCAAACCACAGTGATTTCACCCCATTTTCTCAGCAACAATTTAGCAGCAGCCCAAGCAGCTCAGACTCCACCAGCCTGGGCCAGGTTGATGCGGAGGATATGAAATATTACCAGACATTAAAGTCAGAGGGCACTCGTCAGGACGAATTTTCCTCGTTTCCTGGGGCCGAGGCACAGGGCAGGGGAAGGATCTTGGGGTTTTTAAATCGGGTTATTTGCTTAATCACTAAACTTACAAAAAAACAGTTTTGGCAGCAAGTGTCCCAGTCACTGCCCTGAACGAGCCAGGTCCCTGTGGCCACCCCACACACCTGGGGGGCCCTGTATAACCGGACAGCACCCTAAGGGCCCCCTCTCTGCCTCTCTCCACAGCCCCCCACCAGACCATTCGTCCTTGGCTACCTCCCCCAGCCCCCCCGCCCCTTCCCCCAACCGACCCCCCTCCCCCGACCGACACCACCCCCCCCAGATCCCGTCCTACTAACCCCCCCTTCCCCCCCACATACGGTGCCGAGCCCCGGCTCCTCGGGCTGCTCCGAGGCAGAGGCAGCCACAGCCCGCCCGGCCCTGGTGCTGCTACGCAACCCCCTGCCTCGCCGGAAAAACTCTCAATAGGCCACACTCTGTCCTAAATGACAGCCATTTGCGCCCCCACCACATCGTTGGTCATTCACGAAGTCAAGTGTCAGAACACAATTTGGCTGAGGATGCATCACATGTAGATCAGAACAAGTTAGATTTTACATGGACTATTATAATTCCTCCATGGGAGAAGCCCAACATGCTGGAAAATAAGCATATCTGTCTGTATTACTCAATTAGGGTTGTAGCCTTCCAGTAAAGGCCTGATTTTGACATCTTTACTCCCACTAAACTTAGTCACAAACGACGCTGCCTGGAACTCTATCCTCAAACTTTCAACAAGTTCTCTGCTAACTATCAGACAATGGCATATTCTTTCCTGACAATACCTAGTTTATTATGTGACTTGCCCCCACAGTGTCACATCTAGTCAAGTAAACCCACGAATACAACACAGGTTTTCTGACTCCCAGCCCATGACTCTTTTCACTAGGCTACACTGTCTCCCAGACCAGTTGCCACTGTCACATAGTACCAGAGTGGTAAAAGGCATGACATAAGCAACTAGAAAAGAGTTCAGTGCCCACCAGTCTAGCCGGTGCTCCAATATATACTCACATCCTTTTGCTCAATCTCATGTGAAAGAGACATCTCCACCTCTGGAAAGTTTTTTTGATTTTAGCCTATGGGTACAGTGGCCAAGATGCAATAGTTGCATAACAACTGTAGAAAGCCAAAAAAAAGTTCAAACTTCTTTGTCTTCAATGTCAATACATACAGTTAATCTTAGGACAACACTGACAAATGCAAACAGAGTAATGGCAGGTTTGGGATTTTTTTTTTACTTTATAAAATATAGTTATAGAAAAGCAACGTTAAGGTACAATACAATAAAGAGGAGACAGACATTCAAAGTTACAATAAAAATTGTTGACAGCACAATTCACAACACTTACATAACAATAAACATGCAGTAGCTTGCAAAGGGATTAATACTGGAATGTGATTTCAGCATGTTGCTATACAGAGGAGGCTTAAGCAGCACTTATGAGTTTAAATTCTGGTTAAATGAATTATTGAGAGCTGGCATACAAAATCAATATTAGTTTTGCAAGCCATAATTACTCTGAATATATAAACAGTATTAAACTCCATTTGGTATTTACATTCACTGTCAAATGTTACAGAGGTCTTGAAATTGTGTTGGACATTTTCATTAACAAGAAAGCATCTGTGGCCTATGCCTGAGGTTGTCTAGATGCCTATATAATCACCCACCAGTATTTAATATTTAGTAGTCTTGCCTCTGGAACCCAATAAGAAAATATTACAGCCAGTTTGTTACTTAGTAACTCATTGCCATATCAATATTTTAGGCTACATTTTTACTGCACTGAGTATAGAGAAGCACAAGTATTGTGCGTGTGCTTTCACACCTAGATTTGAAATGCACTCCCTTCCTATCTACCTGTCAGAGGGCAGACAACATGCTAAAAGGAATAACCTTTAAAAAATCGTTTGATTTGGAACAATGAAGAGCACTAGAGTGGGAAAAAAAAATACTTTGCATCCTCAGGTTCACAGTTTCCCCTTTTATTGCATTTTTTCACACATTCAGGAAAATATTTTATAATTAGGAAAATGTGACTGCAAAGTTTTAAGGGGTAGGTGTAGCACGTGTTACTACTTAACTTAAAACAAAAAAGAAACCCCCCCCCACTAACTTGCACTTTGATAGTGTCCCCTTAAGGAATAAGTTTTGACACGGAAAAGACAAAAAAGAGGTGTGATCTGAAACAAAATAGCAGAGGCTGCTCATTTACTGCTTTAAAAGCCAGTAAGTTTGTAATTGTCAACAAAGAAATGTAACCATTACAGGTAATGCACTGCCTGGAAGACATCTAAGTCCATAAAACAAGATGGAAGTCAAACTGTTCTACTCATTATCGTTATCACAGCTCTAGTGTTATCTACTTATATTAAATCCATTGCAGAAGAAATGTGTTTCTAAAGTATTGACGCTTTTATTGCATTCCTTACTTGCAAAGATCTCTTTAAAGCAAATGTGAAATTGCTAAGGGCTCCATGCTGAGGAGCTCTCTGCTGTGCTGGCAACTGCGGACGCTAAAGTCAACAGGAGTTGAGGCTCAGCACCCATTCGGATTGGGCCCTCACAAAGTATCAGCTTCTCAAGAACAGACATGTTGAAATTACTTTTAGATTAGATTCAATACAATGAAAATGGAGACTCCTTGCTTTCCCTTAAAGAATGGTTTAGTGTGCAAAATCAATGATAAATGAGGAAGCAAATATTGAGAATAGACTGGTAGAACAATAGCTTCACCTTTTCCCTTACTTTATTTTTTTGAGTGCATAACCAAGATTTATGAATCAAGAGTCTCATGAGTCCCTGGCTTCAAAAACTCTTCTCACCCCTCCCCCACACTCCACAAAGTGCAGTTTTCTGTTTCATGAACCAAGTTTATGAGAAAATGTTAAGTTTCTGCTTGGCCCTTAATTGAAATGGGATGATGCCTAAAATAGAGACTTCAGCAATGCATTTTGTTATATTTAAAATGAATTGCAAGCCTATTATAGCCCAGGGATCGGCAACCTTTGGTACGCAGCCCGTCAGGGAAATCTGCTGGCTGGCTGGGACGGTTTGTTTACCTGCAGCGCCCGCAGGTTCGGCTGATCACGGCTCCCACTGTCTGCGGTTCGCCGCTCCAGGCCGATGGGGGCTGCAGGAAGTGGCGCGGGTGCGGGCCAAAGGCTGCCGATCCCTGTGACAGTCAAAGAAAACTGAAATAGCAGCATTTTTAGTGTCAAATTTACTTTTGGTGCAGTAGTAAAGTTAGACGTAAATGGTTAAGACAAGGCTGTCAAAATGTTTGCCCGTTAGGAGGGAGCACATTTTAGCAAAGAGATTGGGAGGAATGGGGGTTCACATGACAGACAGTCCCAATGGTAGCAACTGATTATATGGAAAAATAATATCAGGAAATTTACTTTAGCCTTTTTAAATGCAATTAAATAACTAGAAACAAGGAAGAGCATCCCATGTTCAGTCAGGTCTCCATGGACCATAAACAGCTTGGGAAACTATTTTCGGTTGAGTCAACAGGGTTCAAGCACTGCAATGATGTGAATGATATAAGAACACAGACAATGATTAGGGCTCTGTACCCCCAAAGAGCTGCATGACAGCTACTACTGAAGTCAACAAGAGGGCTTGCAGCAGCAGGCACATGATATTCACACACTAAAAGGCTGATTTAGGTTTCAATCCTCAGAAGGATTCTAAACCCAGCCATAGGAGACTCACTTCCATGCAAGCTGCAGTGGGGTCCCCTGGTGCTGAATAACTCATATAATCACCCCGTGTCAACCCTCTCCCAAATGCCAAAATAAGGAATCCCCAGCCACCCCTGACAATCAACCTTAGTGTGATCCTCAGGCTGCTGTAACTTAAGCCAGGCACCTAGCATGGTGCACAGACAGCCCAATTCTGAGGAACACAAAGGTGGCTTAAAGTCACTTCTGCTCTGCTGCCCCCAGGCTATGCCTTGCAATCCTTGGCCACTGCCAAGGACTGGGGCTTTGTCTGGGCTGACTATTTAGACATAAAGGATCTCCAACAGATCCCAGCTGCAGCCGGACAGAATATTACCAAGCCATGGTTAAGTATGGTATTAAAAAAACATTTATAGTTGTAGGAATAAAGAGACAAGCAACTAGCTAATTTGCATCACGCAGACATTCGAAGTGTGCTGGTGCACAAAAGATGCTTATTCTTAACTCTCCATGTTCCCTGCTGTTGAACAAATAACATACTTTACAAGATTTCTACTTTCCCATCTGAGGCATGCCAGTCTAGGCAATTAATCAAAATGGGCACACAGCAATGTCAGTGTTAAGTGTAGTTTTATTTTAATAATGCCTTTATTTTTTCTTGAAGTGCACCATAATAAAAAAAAAGTCTGCCTTTGTGGTGTATAGTAATAGTCAGAAGACTAGGTAGACTGTTAATGCACATCCACATTTAAAAAACTGCTTGCAAGATACAGTGTCCAATATAAAATTAAGTGTAAGGGTATTTTCCAGACTTAAAAGTACAAAACTAAAGTTAACTATTTCAGGTCAAAAGCTGAACACTGCACAGTGTATAATTTTGGCACAGACAAAAATGTCATGAACAGGCTGTAACTGCTCATTACTTTTACCTGTTGTGAATTTTATGAGTACATCTACATAGATGTGGATTTACTACCTTTTCCTTTTATTTCTATCTTCTGCATCAGTCTAAATACTGAAATTTATATAGTAATGAGAAACACAGAGCTTTGTTCCTGGAGGCGGGGTGTGTGTGTGCCTTTCACACAATAGCAAGACAACTACTATTAATCTGTAGTAATGCTGAATATAAGATACCACTAGTACTAGTTCAGAACTATCATTGCTGGGTGCTCCTCTTAAAAATGGGATTCTCTTTTCTTCTGAGATTACATTTAATTTTGGCAGGAGGTGATCTGGGATTTAAAACAATGAGTCTGAAATGGCTTCCATTTACATAAATCAGAGCATGATTGCAATGTTAAGAGTAAATAGTCATCCACTCTCATCCTTCAAAAATACTTTATGTGCTATGAAATAAAGAGCCTGTATCACTGGCTTGAGGAAAGAGCTCCTAAAACTGTATCTGAAGACACTCAGGTCTCTAAACGCTAGTAAAAAGAAAAGGAGGACTTGTGGCACCTTAGAGACTAACAAATTTATTTGAGCATAAGCTTAAAGCTTGTTAGTCTCTAAGGTGCCACAAGTCCTCCTTTTCTTTTGCGAACACAGACTAACACGGCTGCTACTCTGAAACCTAAACACTAGTGTTTGTTGAAAGTCAGAAACCAGCAACCTAATTGGTTAAGTCTCAGTATAAGTTAATGGGACAAGAGCACAAAGGATGCTGAGAATGTGGATGCTGAGGCTCTTAACACACATACTTTCAGGGTTCGTCTGATCCATCTTTTTGGCCAACATGTACTTTACCTAGGGAAACCCTCAAAACAGAATATACAACTTCAATTGCAAGCTTCACAGGACCCTTTGAAATGGGCAATTCTTCTACACATACCAGATGAAGAAGAAATTAGTTCCTAAATTCTCATTTATGTGCTACAAAGATGTATTCTAGTAAAGGGGTACAGTTTGGCCTTTGGAGTACTATGATTCATATTGCAGATTTACATCATCTGGGGAGCTCTAAAGGCTTGTTGGATGCTGTTGGGTCCTCGTCCCCAGAAAAAAAATTCAAGATGGGCAGACCACCCAACTGAAATGCTATGGAGGAGTTTCTGAAAAACAAAACCAGAGTGTGCTGCAACACCAATACTGCAACCCTTACATTTCTGGGTACCAAAGATATGATACATTATTACTGAGAGAAACATGTCAGTAGGATAAGGAATTTTGCAGCACTAAATGAATAAAACAAAAGGTTTTCCAGATATCCTAGTACAGATGTTCTTAAAGTTTCCACAGTGTGGAATGCATCTTAAAGAGAGTCTCAGGGACCATGTCAACACTCTCATTAACATTACTGTGTAACTTCTCTGTGGCAATGATAGCAACTACTTACATGGAGAGTTAGGTAAATTTAAACTTGCCCTTCAACGTGAGTTAGCAGATGGAGATGAGCAAAGTTAAAACTATAGCTCTCCACATCCCACCAGCAAGTACTCCGCAGACCAGTGGTATACGGGCCACAGTTGGGAACCACTGCATTTGAGGACCTACAGGAAGATGAATCTTTATGTACAGAGATCTTGTGAAAAAATAATTATTTTGTTAAATATGAAATGAGGTTTTATTTTTCCAAACACAGCCTGTAGTGTTTCTGAATTACCTGAGAATCAAAGATTTAGAGACGAGCATGACTTATTAATACCAGACTGAAAAACTAAATGGACTAGGTTCAGATATAGTTACAAGAAGATAACGTTGTAAAGCTGATCGGATGGCACCTGGGAAAACTTAAAAAAAAATTCTTTATCAGAGTAACAAGATCTATAAGAAAGGATATCAAGGATTGTTGTCTTCAGGAACTGTATCCTCTCTAGGATGAGAGAATTGGAAAGGAGAAGAATAGAAAAGAGGTAGGTGTCAAGAATTGTAGCAGCAGGATCTAGATATTTTGCTTACAGGCTCATAATGAAAAATGGAAGGATGTTTTTACCTGTTAACTTCCAAGTTCACGGTTCTAGATTTTTCTCGAAGTATCAGCCTTACTTGCGACAGCAAGGTATGGTTTTCCTTATGCCACTTTTGGTTTCAGTGAGCTCATTACACTGTAGCAAGGACAGCGTAGAATCCCAGTATTGGCAGCACAGCAAAAAGGAAGTAGTACTTTTTTTCTAAACCATTTGTAAAAGCTAAACCTACACATGCTAATTCATTTTAGAATATTACATTTTATTACTTCTTGCCTTTCCCTGCCCAAACCTTGTATGATAAATGGGCGAATTCTAAAACAAAGATATATGGTATGGTTAGTCAGTGATTTGAGATAAACAGATATTCATTTTTAAATAAACACTTCAATTCGCCTACAGGGGAGTTTTTCTTACCTACATTTTCCTTCAAAGTTTTTAATGCTAAATATGAAACTTTAATTGCCAGGCATTTGGCTCAGATTACAAGGTCGGTAGTTTTTATGTCTAGTTTCTATATACGGGTTAGTGTATATAAATGTGTGTGTGTGTGTGTGTGTATATATATATAGAGAGAGGGGGGGGGGCAGAATACTGATGACTACACTAGCATTCATAGGGAGTTAAACAGTGATGGCATTTTGATTGCAATTTGTGACAAGTACTTCAGTCCTTTGTTTTACAGTTCTTTATATGAGGCCTAAAATACTTTGAGACATTAGTCTGATGCTATTGCATTACAAATATTGGCCAAATCATCCCTTCTGTATCTCCGCTGAAGTCAACAGAGTTAGTCAGGGATGAAGGTGGGCCGAAATTGTTTGGTCACTGGGTAACTTTTTAAAAATATAGAATACTGTACTTTCATTTTTTCCCTTTGGAGGAACAAACTCTGGTCTAAATCAAGCTTATCCAAAGTAGGCATCTTAATATCATGCACAGCCAGAAGGCTCCTCGTATTTTTTCTCTTAGATGCCCCTTCGCCTATGTAACAAAATAAAACTTGCTACTTTCAATCCATCGAGTTTAAATGTGACATTACAAAGACAAACAAAACTGCAAGGCAGCACAAAGGCCTGTTCAATTATTCAGACAAATAAGAGAATCTATGTAGTGCTTATAGGAGGACCTCCAGTAATTCTGGACTGGAAATATCCCAATGAAATATAGTACTCATGTACCCTCCATCAAATTCTCTTCACTAAATGAATCTGAATATTTTTATCTGAAATCAGATAAAAATACTTAGCTTAACTCATCAGAAACACAGGGGAAAAAGAAATGGATCAGGCACTAGTGAAGGCCTAACAGAGCCAGTCTCTCTCCTTTCACTGGGGCATATAGCCCCCTTGCCTTACAGTTTGTGGCATGTAACTTTTTGGTATCTCATCAACTGTTGCTGTGTTTATCCCCATCGTTTCCAGTCTCAGAATCTGTCCCTCAGTACTTGGGCTTAATACATCTGCCAAAGCAGATTCAGGTTTATTTTTCTCTTGCCCAGAGCCACACGGCTGTGAACTGTGATCCGATATCTGTAGTTGTGTAAGTCCAACAAGATCCTCCTCATTTATTGGAGGAGTAACTTGCTTTGCTCTTTCAAAATGTGACCCATCTGTACTGGTTTCATCCTGACTACTATTTTGTTTGAAATACTGCTGCCTTGGAGTTGCACTTTCACCTCCTCCTGGGTTATCTTCTGGCTTCTCTTCTGAATCTAGCAGCGGCTGGGTGGATTCAGACCTTGAAAAGACTTGAACAGAAGGAATTTGGTCTCTGTAGCCATTGAGTACTACAGTTGAATACTGTACAGTGCTTGAAGTGTTTTGAGCAGATTCACTCTCATCACTGTCAGAAACACTTTGCCTAGGAGAAGACATGCATGAGGATCCTCCAATACCACTGCTATGCCCCTCTGAAGTATTTTTTTCCTTTTTAAGCAAGTTGAAGGGTTTTAGATCTTGCTCTGAAAATGACTTCTTGTCATCTGCTTCTATTTCAACCACGCTTACATCAGTAAAGCTGCCTTCTGGATACATCTGATCTTTGGAACTAAAATTATGCTGAAAGAAAAGAAAAAAAAAAGACGTTAGGTGTTGCCTATGAGGGAAAAAGAGTCACGGTGTCTCACTTTCTATTCTTTATGCACTTTGAGACTACCACAGGCTCTGCTCACTGCAGAATTTGGCAGTTCCTCTTGAGTATTTGCCATAAGATGGAAAATGTGGTTTACGTTTCCAAGTATCAAAGTCTTAAGTACACAGATTCCCTGGAGCCAGAGTTTCATGAAGGGTCTACCCAAACCCTTAATTTTCTGTGATACTGAGAATAAACTGAGCACCATGCATTACATCCTGCAGAATTATTTCAGATTAACGCCTTACAACAGAAATGCTATCTCCTCTACTTGCATATTAAATATCTCATAGGAATTTTCATTAGAGTTTGTCCTGGTTTCTTGATCAGAATTTCCCCTCCTTCCCATCCTCCACTACACACTAAAATACTGTGTAGCATGCCAGCTTGTTGCCAACTCCACATACAGATGGGAATATCTGCTGTACCCCTCTCTTTGTATTTATATTTCATTATATTTCCAATTCTCAACTCTCTAACAATTCTATTGATTTCCACGTAGTTGCTCATGATTTACACATTTGGGGAAGTGAGAGAAGAATCAAGCCCTGAACCTTAAACCTACGAAACTTAAAATTAGCCCCATATTAACAGAATCCAATTTAGGTTGTGAGCTCCTTGTGACAGGGACCGTATCTGCCTAATGCCGAACACATTGATGGTACTCAAATAAATTTTTCCTCCTATATCTCAGGATTAACAGGTTGAAAATCCAAGTTCTCTTTGAATATCCATTTAGAGGGCTCCTACTGGTCAGTTTATTCTTAAGGTCTTTTATGTACTATCAAAGATTCACTCTTACCTTAGTTGGAGTTTGAGGGGACCACTGAGCAATGTTACTTTTGGAAGGATCAGGAACATTAGGCCAGATATGCTTTTTAATTCTACAAGAGGATGAAAAAAAAAAAAGAATGGAAAATACATTTCTTGAACCCTCAAAACTTGCAAACATGGTTACAGTTGTGCTTTATATTCTTAATGTACAATTACTGGTCTTTTAAAATATTTGACAGAAGTGTTACAGATGCCGATTTTGTCCTGTCACATTTGACGTCTGGTGTGCTCATTTGCAAAGTCATACCTAGAACGCTTCATACTCACTGCCACTTCATTTCACGGCAAGTTGAGAAGATTGGCTTTATAGCCTAGTTTTGTGACATTTCTATTTGGGGCTCCCCAACCCACATAAAATAAGATGAAATAAAAGCAAAACAGAATAGTAGGGGGTTTGGGAGAGGTCATAAAATAAATCTATAGCACTTTTGAAGGCACAAAGTGACAGTTAAAACTCACTGGATGAGCATTACTCAATATACTGGAAAAAGTAAATATCTTTGGCTCTGTTTTTTTCTCTTTTCTTTTTTTTAGAACACATATATGGACCATGCGGACAGAGATGCTCTGATGCCATGGTGAGGAGCGTCACAAATGTCTAGACAGACTTTGCAATTAAAAATATAAATAAATAGAAAAAAATATAGAAAAAATGCACACACATTTAAAGACAATCCAACTGAAACTGGTTCATGACATTTTTCCTGATGAAATAGCGACAAGCTCCTTAAACATAACCAGCTATTAAAACCCAGTAATTTGTAAAGACCATCAAATATTAAAACAGTTATAGAATACAATGTGATGGCTGCTCCTAGCTGTTTAAACCTCTTTGCTAAAGAAAGGGAAGAGAATATGCCCTGACAAGTAAATAGTTTTAGTTAACAGGCATTGCCAGATAGTCTTTCAGCTAAGGCCCATTGAGAGGCAGCTCTAGGAGGGACAAGTAAAGGTAGATTGGTAGATCCCCATTATGAACATTTAATTTTGTTGGGGATATCTGCAGGGTACTCTTTAGCCAAGTGACCAGGCATAGAGACAGTTTATATATTTCCCCAGCCAAAGGCAACGTGCCAGCAGCCATAGGCGCTGACTCTGCGGGTGCTCTGGGGCTGGAGCACCCACAGGAAAAAAAAAAAAAAAAAAAAAGTGGGTGCTCAGCACCCACTGGCAGGCTCCGCTGATCAGCTCCTCTCCCTTACCCGCAGCGCCTCCCGCCCACCAAGGATCAGCTGTTCAGCAGCAGGCAGGAGGCGCTGGGGGGGGAGAGGGAGGAATGGGGGCAGAAAGAGGCGAAATGAGGGCGGGGTGTGCTTGAGAGAAGGGGCAGAACAGGGCATGAAGAGGTGGGGTGGGACCTTTGGGGAAGGGGTGGAGTGGGAGCGGGGTGGGGCCTGGAATTGGACGGGGAGTCAAGCACCCCCAGGGAACTCAGAAAATCAGTGTCTATCCCAGCAGCTACTACTTGGAGCAGAGTTTTTGAAAGAGATAAAAGACAGGACAGAAAAAGCTACAACGAAGAGAGAGGGAGACATCTTCTAGTGGTGTGGTGCCTTTGCCTCCCCATTCAAAAAAAGCTGGCTTACGTTATTTAACTCATTTTATTACACAGACTGTGAAAAATAGGTTTTTTTGGTGGGATGTAAAGAATTCCTTAATGGTGCATTAACTATATGAAACTCAGGCAATCAAAAATTTCAGTTTATACTGAAAATCAAGAACTAGCAAGGAAAAGCAAGAATTTCCTATCACATTCAGTTAATAGGCTTGAACAATCGTTTTAAAAAGAGCTCTTTGAAGTATTGTTACAGCGTTGTTATAGCAAAAGTCTCCATATCTCGAAGAGGAACACGGAACCAATTCCTGCCCTCCTCCCAAACCTGTTTTAATATGGTGCAGCTTTACTTACTTCAAAGGAGTTTCTCACAGATATAAATCAGTGAGAGATGAGACTCAGGCCCATGATACGTAAATTACAGTGAAATATTACTGTCATGCTCACATATAGTAAAATGTGATAGAAATACATGCTATATGTACTTACAAGTCCCGTTTGTTAAAGCAGAACAATACTCCCAGAAGGATGGACAACAGGAATGCCAGACACACAGGTACAACTATGGCTTCTATTTCTCCTTTTCCTAAAAAAGGGAAAAAAAGCAACTTTAGTTTTTGGAAAAGGTGCTCAGCAGAGCTCTCTCTGACAATCATTCCAAAAGGAAAAAACAGACTAGTACATACAGTATTGTCTTGTCATGAGCCATAAAGCTTACAAGATTATACCCTAGTAGAATTGAACTGAAATATGATCTGTTTTGTTATCTTTAAAGTCTCAGTGAGTCTTTTTATAGCCAACATTCTTAGCTAATTTTGCTTATTGTATCATCCCTGCATACTTTACAAGAACTATGAACTTACATGAGTAGGGGTAACAAAGAAATCCCACTTTCAGCACCTTCTCATTATAGGAGCATAGAGCAATATAGCAGTGAAGTGAGTCTGTGATATTTGGGGAGAATCTTCAGTTGCAGTTTAGAAGAGTTCATAACATATTTAAAGCACCTAAGAAAGCAGTACTTGACATTTAAGTCACAGATCCAACCATCTGCCTGCAATAGAAAACGACACTATACCTACAAAACTGTGCACACAGCTAGTCTATGAAAAAAAAATACCTGCATTACTCTTATGTGATCCTCTCCCCTTCTCAGCACCCCATTTGTTACATATTATTTTAAATTACGAACACAGAACATTTAGGGAAGAATGCCCTTTACTATATTTCTGTAGAACTCATTGTACAAAGGAGGTGTATAGGTTTGGGGCCTTAGGCATTACTAGAAGAAACAAAAATTGTTTGCATAAAATAAGAGAGCAACTGCATGACTAATCCGTTTTAAAATGAGTCCCTATACATTTTATCTGATCACTTCTTACCAAACTTTTGTGTAGTAAATGTAAATACAGGACCACTTGTGCCTCCTTCGTCTGTATGTGCCTCCATCTTCACCATGTATAAAGTGTCACTGGATAAGGAGGAGAGGGTATATTCTGTTTTGGAAGGGTCCACATTCACAGCTAGAAGAGAAAGGTTTATACAGTTATCTGGTACAACCTGTTTAATATCCACAAACATGTTAGACTAAAACACTACTATATATATATATATATATATGTACGGGAACAAAGTACTCAAGACATAATTTAATGGGAAGTTACACTCTTCCATAGTATTGAAAATGGACTCAAAGACAAAAATTACTGAAATTATTTTCTATATTCCACATGCAAAAGTGTGTATGCCTAAATGCCTAACTCCCATCATTAAATCTTATCTTCTGTAAAGGCACTGAAAAGAAATTAAAATATGTAATAAGTAAGGCTAAGATTTTGTCACAGTTATTTTTAGTAGAAGTCACGGACAAGTCACGGGCAATAAACAAAAATTCACGGAGCCCGTGACCTGTCCGTGACTTTACTAAAAATAACCGGCGCAGGACTAAGTAGGGGGGAGGAATGGGGTTTCATGTGGGGGAGGGGGAACTGACAGTCCCAGATACAGCAGTCGCAGCAGGGGGCACAGCCACAGGGGGAGCACAGCCCCCGCTCCAGAGCTGGCCGCAGCTGCAGGACAGGGGTGGGAGGAGCGCATGGCCCTTGGAAGCTGCGAGGGGGATACACGGCCCCTGTTGCAGCTGCAGGACAGGGGCACACTGTCCCAGCAGCAGCTCCTGGTAGAAGCCGCGGGCGCAGCCACAGGGAGTGCACAGCTCCCTCTCCGCAGCTGACTGCAGCTGCTGGACAGGGGCACACAACCCTGCAGGGTCTTGGTTCCAGCCATCCAGCCCCAGTTGCAGGACAGGGGTGCACAGTCCCGCCACTAGCCCCGACTTCAGCCGCTGACAGCTGAAGCGGAAGAAGTCACGGAATCCGTGACTGCTGTGACTAAATCACAGCCTTAATAATAAGTAGCTATAAAAGAGATCATGAGACAGAATTGTAGAGGTTAGTAGTGATGTTGTGGATAACAAGTCTTCTAATTACCTATATGTCATAAGGTTCAATAGACATTTAAACAAGTGTAGGTCTATAGTGACTGACCCCTCTCCATTTAATAGATTTTAAGGCTATCTGATCATTTAGTGGGACCTCTTGCTTAATACATGCCACCGAATCTTACCTAGAAATTCCTGTATAAAGCCCAATAATCTGTGATTGAACAAGAGCATTTCGTTTAGAAATACATACAGTTATGATTTAAAGACTTCAAGGCAATGGAGAAACCACTTTTGTTCCAAGGGTTAATTATCCTTACTGTTAAGTGTGCACCTTATTTTCACGTTGAATGTGTTTAGTTTTGTTGTACCTTTGTCTGCTGGATAAAATAGCTCTCTAGTACCAAAGGTCTTTTCCACATGTAGACAATAAAGACTAGGATCAAGTCACCTCTCAATCTTCTTTGATAAACTAAATAAATTGAGCTCCTTAAATCTCATTGTATGACATGTTCTGAACCAGACACTTGGTACTCTTATCAGGGACACTTCTGGTCTCAAATGTAACTAAGCTACAGGGGATCCAATGCAGAATCAAGTATACTTTCTCTCTGTAAAAGGTTTCTCGCTTTAAAAAAAAAAAAAAATTCTCTATCTTGCTTTGTGCAGTAGTCAGTAACTCAATATTTCAGAAAGTTAATATTCAAAGAAATACATTTTAATACTAAAAACTGGTATTATCTGGCCTTTGTTACCTGTTTCATTGCCACTGATAGTTCTGTATAATATAGTGTAATATCTGATAAACCCATTTTGCTCATCCACTGCAAGAGGTTTCCATACTAAAACGGCTTCAGCTTTTCCTACTTTTTTTGTCTGAACAGTGGGTCCTTTTTCAGGCACTATAAAAGAAGACCACAATTAAGAGTACATTATAGTCCTGTTAGGAAAAGCAGCATGTTAATAGACAACACATTTTAACTCTACATAAAACCATGCTCAAACATTTTAGTGGAATATCATCTTGAAGATGTTATCTGCAAAGTCAGTTATTTCACTTCCAGAAAATACAAAAATATTTGTACAGCAAATTCCTCTAAAAATCTGACTTCTACATGAAAAATAAAGCCACACATTTTGAACAATTAGGACATGAGTAATACCTTAACATAATTCTTATAAAAAGCAAGTAAGGGATTACTTGGAAAATGTAAAACACAAACAAATCAGTGGATCCAGACAAAGTGGATTGGTATAGAAACTTTGTTCAACTGATGAACTTTAGAAGATCGGGGAAGTACCAGATGTTTGATAGATGCAAGGATAATACTAATCTTAAAACAAAATTAAAGAGGAAAGATCTTGGCAATAGCAGCATAATAATTTTAACTTCTATCCTTTGCAAAAACTAACACACTAAAAATATGGGGTGGAAGAGGGGAGAATGGGAATTGTCTCACTTAACTTCTGAGACAATTTAAACACAAGTAGATCTTGCCAAAGAAACTTAGTACCTTTTTTGTTATGGAATGGGTACAAGGAAAATGGCTGATATTTGTACTTCAGTAATAAAACATTTGTTGATAATGTCTCATGAAGTTTTACACTCAATTCAAATAAGCATGGAAAAAGTATAATGTCTTCTGTTTAACCACACTTCAGACAAATCTGAGTTCATCTGATGCACGGATGTGTGAAGTATCAAAAGGATCTGCTAGGAGAGATTTTATTTATCATCTTTAAAGATCTAGGAGGTGGTAAATGCTTTAATGAAATTTGAAGACTATTGCTATTAGTTGCAAGTAAAGAGAAATGGTGAAAGAAACCACAAGGATCTAGAGATAAGAACAGAAACGTGGGTAGAAAGCATTCACTGTGGACAAGTGCAAACTAATATCTGTGAAAGAGTGATCCAAAAATCCATACAGGGATTAACGGGGGAGAGAAAAATATGGGAAGCTGATAGGTTTAGGACCAATAATAGACAAGTTTGGACATGAATTTACCACTGATGTGCCAAGGAAGAAGATCAATGCAATTGATAGTTGTATATGCAAAGGTATGTCATGCAGCAAGCACGTGAAAGCCCCCCTCTATACAGCTCTAGTGGGAATACTGCTTTTCGTTCTGGACACCTTATTACTAGAAAGATATCGATAAATTGAAGGGAGCTCAGATTCAGATCACCAAAATTATTAGGAACCTGGAGAGAATGATGTATAATGAATGAGACAATGTAACTTGCCTAAGGAATAATGGGAGTACAACATGAAGAGTGGAAATGCTGAGGAAAACCTTTTAGGGCAATGTGTGGGTATTACAAGAAACACTGGAATGAAGTTAAGAAAGGGAAAGTTTAAGCTGAATATCAGGAAATACCTCCTGATATTAAGACAGGGGAACTGTTTCCCCAAGGAAGGCAGCAAAGTCATTTGAAAATTACAGACGGGATAAAGCCATTAATATAAGAAGTGTACAATAGGGGAAACTGCTGCATGTGCATGGAGATGGGCGACATGACCTAGTCGGTCTCTCTCCCACTTCTATGACTATATTATGTTAGCAAGAAAGGTCAATTGAAATAAGATGTGTATTTTGTACTTACTGCTTTGCTGAAGATATGCCTTTGTAGATTGTCCATTTCCTTGACCATTAGTATACAATGGATAAACAGTTATCAAATAACACTTGAATGGCTTTATATCTCCTAATTCAAAAATTATAAGAAAAAACATTGTTTTAGTAAAGATTTCAGTTAAAATGAAATATTTAGTTCTTTTACTTCAGTTTTGCTAAACAGTTTATCAATGTACCTTACACCTGGAAACACAGTTGAATTTCTTTTTCTGAAGTATTGCCAATCAATCATTCAAAAAGAGACTAGTTAGAGGATCAATTAGATAGTTCAGGTCCAAAATTTTAAAGTTAATGAAACAAAATGTATTTCAATGAATTTATAAAAAGAAGCACAAGTTATTTCCCTGCAATTGTGTACAGGATTGTGCTGCTGTACAAGGATTGTGCTATCACTGAGAACCTGGAGGTGAAACTGGATACCAAGTCTAGTTTTACTGTCCAAGCCAACTGAATTGCCAGAGTAAAACAATGAGAACAGACAGTGGACAAATTAGATTTTAAAGTTCTTTCGTTATTTAATAATACCAGATAATATAACATTGTTTTTTTGTCAAGTCTTAATCTGATGGTGTGCCTTTCAAAGCTACAGTTCCCTTCTTGAATTGTTTCAAACCCAAGGATTTATACGCAGTTTTATTCTGAGTTGCCAGTACACAAGATTATACCAACATTCATATTATCATGTGGTAATTTTTAACTTGTTTAAAAAAAAAAAAATTGAGGTTTTTCAGCAGTTTTAAATGCCTGCAAAAGATCCACCAGGCACTTATGTCCTGCAGCAGATACCCACTGAGCATTAGCCACCAGCGGCAGCATGCTGTTTACAATTCAGCACATTTTCTATTTTTTACTGGTTAGCTCTCTGTTTTATAAGAGTATGCATTTCTTCCAGATCCTCTTTATTCACAAAGTGAGTCTGTTGCAAAAGAGCCACTGAAAACTTCCAAAATGTATGAAGGATGATAGGTTTTGACTATTCTAGAAACCTTATTGGGTTTGAAAGGTCTTGACTATTCTTAAGGTCTATAATAATAGGTACAATATTTTTAAATATGATATTGTTTGCTAAATATACCTTTTAAAAATGTGCTTTGAGAAGTACCAAGTTCCTGCTGCCATTCTGTGGTGCAGTCCGAGCTGTCAGACACCATGCACCATTCAATCACATATTTAACAACACTATTGTCAGGAGCCGTCCACTCTACCCAAAGCTTGCCATCTTTGGGATATGCTTTAATATCTTTCACAGAAGCTAGAATGAGAAAAAAGGAATGAGATTCCATTAATATAGAACATCTTCATTAGATAGCTCTCTCCTAGCACAAACGCACCTGAACTTGCTATTCTGTGGAATCATAGTTACTCTTGCTCTAAAGTAAATTAAACCATCAAAATTTCAACATGAGAAAAGTTTAGTGGGTATAGAAAGCCATTTTGATGCAATTCTGTAACATATGAACAGGGAGCAGCAAACAGGGGAGAGGGAGAAAGGGAAATCCCCTCCTGAAGAAGGAGCAAGCACTAACTCTTGGGGGTGAGTGAGCTTGTTTGTCTGTTTGGTTTTTCTTTTGGCTTGCTTAAAGCTTACAGTGTAGTCTGTTGGTGATTTTGTATTTGGGAAGACTATGTGGGAGTAGGAGCGAGAGGCCTACTAAGCTGCTAGCTGACTGTTCACTATTAAGGCTCTAGCCTCCTGTCCTTTGATCCTTGTGTGTTACCCTGATCACCCTTCTCTTGTGTGTTAATGAGAGGAGTCGGTTGACCTAGGAGAGATGGGCTTAAAAGTCAGATGCTAAGCGACCAAGGGGAGCTAGTGAACAGGGGGGTGCAGACAGGGGAGTTTGAGAGGAAGAAAAAATAAAATCACCATGGTTTGAAAAGGCACACATTGCTAATACCAACACTGCTCCTGGCTCCTCCACCTGCACCTCTGTCCAGACAGAGAATCCAACAATGGATTCCTCTACCCAGGTCCTGGTATGGATTTGCAGAGACTGTGGCTTGCATTTCCTGGTCTCCTCACAGGCTGAGGAGACCATCTAGTGAGAGATGTGCCTACTGGTAGACTCTCTTAGGAGGCAGATAGGAGAGCTACAGGAAATGGTGGCTAGGCTGAGGAGCATCTGTGCACATGAGGAATTCATTGAAAATATGCATATGGAGACCTCCATGGTTGAGAAAGCAATCCAGCTGGAGAGGACTGCAGTATCACCACCAAGGGAGGAGGAAACAGCTCCTTCACAGGGAGGAACCTGGCTATTGGCTACTTCTAACAGCAGGCAGCGCTCCACTTCTGCTCCCAGCCCACCATCCATAGAGTGAAAAATTGGTATGGTGCCCTGGCAACAAAGTCTCCCCCAAAAGGTGAAGGAGGAGAAGCTATGTACGAACCAGGCTGGAAGGATCGTGGCCATCACTCCCCAGAGGAAATGAAGGGTGGTGGGTCTGTGATTCCCTTTCAAAGGGGGATGGAGGCATTCATCAGCCATCTGACCTGGCATCCCAGGAGATGTTCTGTCAGGGGCCCATATCTGAAACATTACAGAAGGATTGCAGAGGATCATGTGGCCCTACATTACCCTGTCCAGCTCATTCAAGTGGGCACTAATGATACTGCAAGGTATGATCCTGAGAAGATCAGAAACGACTACAGGGTTCTGGGAATGAGGGTGAGGGAGCTGGGGGGTGCAGGTGGTGTTCTCATTGATCCTTCCAACCAAAGGTAGGGACCCAGGCAAAGACATCCTGGAGTTGAATGCATGGCTGTGTGGATGGTGTTGCCAGGAGGGCTTCAGCTTCGTTGGCCGTGGGATGCTGTTCTAAGAAGGACTGCTGAGCAGAGATGGGGTTCTACGTGCTAAGGAAAGGGAAGAGTATCTTCGGATACAGACTGGCTAACCTAATAAGGTGGGCTTTAAACTAGGTTTGACAGGGGCAGGAGACAAAAGCCAACAGGTAAGTCCAGAACATGGACACTTGGGGGTAGGGTCGGAATCTGGCAGGAACATGGGCAATCACAGCAGGGACAAGGGAGAGAGAAGAGGGAATAGAGAGAGGAAATCTAATTAACATCTTAGACGTCTGTATACTAATGCAAGTAGTATGGAGAATCAGCAGGAAGAACTAGAAATACTAGTGAATAATCACAATTATGACATAAGTGGCATCACAGAGACTTGGTGGGTCAATTTACATGACTGGAATATTGGTATAAAAAGGTATAGCTTGTTCAGGAAGGACAGGCAGGGAATGAAGGGAGGAGGTGTTGCCTTGTATATCAAAGATGTATACACTTGCACTAAGATTGAGATAGAAGTGGGAGTCAGACCTGTGGAAAGTCTCCACCTAAGGATAAAAGGGGTAAAAAACAAGGCTGATGTCATAGTAGAGGTCTACTATAGACCACTTAACCAGAAAGAAGAGGTGGTTTTTAAACTAACAAAACCATTCAAAGCACAGGACTTGGTGGTGATGGGGGACTTCAACTACCCAGACATCTGTAGGGAAAATAATACAGTAGGGCACAGATTATCAAGTTCTTGGAATACACTTTTTGGAGACAACTTTTTATTACAGAAGATGGAGAAAGCAACCAGAGGAGAGACTGTTCTAGATTTGATTCTGATAAATAGGGAGGAACTGGTTGAGAATTTGAAGGCAGAAGGCAGCCTGAGTGAAAATGATCATGAAACGAAAGAATCTGTTATTCTAAGGAATGACAGGAGGGAAAACAGCAGAAATAAAGATAATGGTATTTCAAGAAGGCAAACTTTAGCAGAACTCAGAACTGAGAGATAAGATCCCGTGGGAAGCAAGTCTAAAATGGGGGAAAAAAAGGCTCAGGAGAGTGGGCAGTTTTTTAGAGAGACTTTATTAAGGGCACAAGAGCAAGCTATCCTGATGCTTAGGAAGTATGGTAAGAGACCACCCTGGTTTAACCAGGATATCTTCAATGACCTGAAACTCAAAGAAGTTGTACAAAAAGTGGAAACTAGATCAAATCACAAAGGATGAATATAATAAAAAACAAGCATATACGAACAAAATTAGAAAGGCCAAGGCAAAAAAAAAAGAGATTAAACTAGCTAGGGACAAAAATGGTAAGAAGAAAACATTTTACAAATACACTAGAAGCAGGAGGAAGATGCAGGACACCAGGTAAATTACTCAATGAGGAGGAGAAGATAACAGAAAACGCAGCAATGTTCAAAGTGTTACATGCCTTTTTTGCTTCAGTTTTCACCAAATTGATCAGATGACTAACACAGTGAACATCAGGGTAAATAGGGTAGGAACGGAGGCTTAAAAAACAGGGAAAGAACAAGTTAAGAATTACTTAGACAAGTTACATGTCCAAGTTGGCAGGTCTGGACTAAATACATCTTAGAGGAATACTAAATACATCTTAAGGAACTGGCTGAAGAGATGTTTGAGCCACTAGTAATTATCTTTGACAACTCATGGAGTGGAGAGATCCTAAAGGACTGGAAAAGGACAAATACAGTACCTATCTATAAAAAGGGGAATAAGGACAACCCAGGAAATTATGGACCTATCTGCTTAACTTTAGTACTCAGAAAGATAATGGAGCAAATAATCAAACAATTTGTAAGTACCTAGAAGATAATAACGTGATTAAGTATCAGTCAACATGGATTGGTCAAGAACAAATTGTGTCAAATCAAGCAAATAGCTTTCTTTGACAGGGTAACAAGCCTTGTGGATATGGGGAAGCAATAGGTGTGATGTATCTTGACTTTGCATAAGGCTTTTGATACCGCCTCACAAGACCTTCTCATGAGCAAACTAGGGAAATATAGCCTAGATGAACCTCCTATAGGGTGAATGCAAAACTGGTTAGAAAAGCATACTCAGAATAGTATCAATGGTTCACAGTCAAGCTCGAAGGGCATATCAAATGGGGCCCCACAGGGATCTTCCTAGGTCTAGTTCTGTTCAATATCTTCATAAATGATTTGGATAATGGCATAGAGAGTACAGTTATAAAGTTTGCAGATGATACCAAGATAGGGGTAGCAAGAGCTCTGGAGGAGAAGATTAGAATTTAAAATGATCTTGACAAACTGGAGAAATGGTCTAAATAAATAAGATGAAATTCAATAAGGACAAAGGCAAAGTACTACATTTAGGAAGGCATAATCAACTGTACAGACAGAAAATGGGAAATGACTGCATATGGAATCAGTACTGCGGAAAAGGATCTGAGGGTTATAGTGGATCACAAACTAAATATGAGTCAACAATGTAATACTGTTGCAATAAAAGCAAACATCATTCTGGGATGCATTAGCTGGGGTGTTGTAAGCAAGACTTGAGAAGTAGTTCTTCCACTCAGCTCAGCACAGATACACCCTCAACTGGGGTACTGTGTCCAATTCTGGACACCACACTTTGGGAAAAATGTAGACTAATTGGAGAAAGTCCACAGGACAGTGATTAAAGTGATTAAAAGTCTAGAAAACATGAGCTTTGAGGAAAGATTGAAAAAACTGTGTTTCTTTAGTCAGAAACGGAAGAGTGAGGGGGACACGATAACAGTCTATAATGACCTTTTACATATTTGAAAAGAGGAGGGTGGTAAATTGTTTTCCTTATCCAGTGAGGCCAGAACAAGCAGTAATGGGCTTAAATTGCAGCAAGGGAGATTTAGATTAAACATTAAGAAAAACTGCCTATCTATAAGGGTAGTTAAGCACTGGAACAAATTCCCTACTGAGGTTGTGGAATCTCTGTCATTGGAGGTTTTAAAGAACAGGTTAGACAAATAGCTGCCTGAGATGATCGAGATCAGAGGTTCTCAAACAATGGGGCAGGCCTCCAAAGGCAGGTGTGGGAATGTGTCAAGGTGTGTGTGGCTTTTTTTTTTTTTTTTTTTTCAAAAGAGCTCTGGCCATTAGGCCTGAGTGGCTGGGGCTCCTGCAGAAGGGCTGTGCACACCTGGAGCCCTGCTGGGCTCTCCTTCTCCCTCCCACATTCCCTCAAAGGAGGCAACCCAGGCTCAGGAGGGCTCTCCTTCCTTCTCCTGCCTAATCCCTCAAGCTGGAGGTGGCGGGGCTCTGGCTGTCAGCCCCAGAGCAGCAGCAGCAGCATAGAAGTAAAGGTGACAACGGGGTGCTAAATCTGCTGTGAAAAGTGATATCACTTTTCACACTCCCACCCTTACTTCTGGGCTGCTGCTGGTGCGGCGCTGCCTTCTGAGCTGGGCGCCTGGCCAGCAGCCGCTGCTCTGCATTCTGCCTTCAGAGCTGGGTGGCAGGACAAGTACTTGTGGGAGGGGGAGGTTAAACAACTACAGACACAAAGAAAGAACCAATCAAGTAAATTTGAGAACCACTCATCTAGATAATACTTAGTCCTGCATCAGTGCAGGGGACTGGACTAGATGACCTATCGAGGTCCCTTCCAGTCCTACATTTCTACGATTCTATGGACGTATGAGAGAAGACATTGAGAAATCAATGTTTTTCTGAACATTCATTAGAGACCAAAATTAATCTGCAATTTCTTGGTAGAATAAGAACACAATTTAGCATTCTGCACTTCCCCATATTCACAAGCACTTTTCAAATATCAACTAGTAAGTAACCCCATGTTATAAGGTAGTTGAGAAGAGGGAATATTACAAATAATGCAGAGACAGCAGTGTCTTTTTCCTAAAAAGCTAGGATCACAAGGTTGGGAAAATTATTTTTCTTCCTTATGCCCCTCCTCCACTAAGAACCCGAGCTAATATTCGTGTGACTTTCAGAGGAAGATAATCAGATCCTTTTCCCTAATGCTGTACAACAGCAGCAGAAGAATAGAAAACGCAGATGTTTTGCTCCAACCATTACCTTTCAGTTTGCTCAAACCATTACCTTTAATTTAAAGAAGTGGTTTTCAAACAGTGGTCTAGAGACTGCACCTTACCTTACTGATGGTGTGGAGAGAACTGGCAGGTAACATGATGCTGGCTCCACATTTCTAGCTGCTTGTACAGGTGACATCCAGGCTCTTCTATAGAAAGAAGAGTCTGGAGATCTCAATGGTTGGAAAAAGGAGGAACCAGCTATGCTACCTTTATTAGGGGGCATTCCGATACATTAAGAGGAGAGGGAATAGGTACTGGCGTGACCAGTAAATGGAAGGAAATAAGGGAAGCACAGAGAGATTAGATTACAAAATGCCTGGGTAGCATACACAGAGAAAAGGTGATCAGGTAGCACAGAAAGATGTGGAAAGGCGATCAGAGAAAGAGTAACAGCATGGATGGGAGTGGAGGATGAAATGGAAGGGTTAAACCAGGGGTAGGCAACCTGCGGCATGCGAGCTGATTTTCAGTGGCATTCACACTGCTTGGGTCCTGGCCACCGGTCCGGGGGGCTAAGCATTTTAACTTAAATTTAAATGAAGTTTCTTAAACATTTTAAAAACCTTATTTACTTTACGTTCAACAATAGTTTAGTTATATATTATAGACTTATAGAGACCTTCTAAAAACATTAAAATGTATTACTCGCACATGAAACCCTAAATTAGAGTGAATAAATGAAGACTCAGCACACTACTTCTGAAAGGTTGCTGACCCTTGGGTTAAACTTTTCCACTAAAAACAAAAAGCTTATCACATTACATATGGCTAAAAATACACAAATAATTTAATATTATGACAGTTAGCACAGGGGATGTTATGCAGGAAGTAGTCTGCACAATCACTATGGGGAAGGGAGACTGATTTGTGGTCAATCAAGATGTGGCCATGCTGTGAAAGAGACAGAGAATCCCCAGTTGGAAGAGACCTATAACAAGGAGTGTTCACATTTATTCTCACAGTTTATAAATACAGTGGTAGTTTAAATACAAAGAAATAATACTGGAAGACCCTCAGTTTTCTATTGCAATTATGAGACTTAAGTTAACTCATTAAAAATAATATCTCAAGAGAGTTACTTTTTTTTTTTTTTTTTTGAGAATTCTTATTTGGCAGACTTTCCTGATTGTATAATTACAAATACATTTGATTTCTTAAAAATCAAGAAAGAAACTAACCTTTTGAGTTACTTGCTGGAATAAGCAAAACTGATGGGGGAGATCCACCAATCCTGTTATGAGCAGTTACTGTCACATCATATGTTCCATTTGTTAAATTTAAAGTCAGGTGTGTGCTATTAACACTGTATTTTTCAGGTGGACGTGACAGAGATGGTCTTGCTCTGACAGTCACTTCATATCTCAAGATTATTCCATTGGCTTCAGAACGATCCAATTCCTGTTAAAAAGTGGTTTAGTTTTATTTCATGTTTTATTGATGTTGACCTCTATCACCCGTGCCTTTCAAAAATAAAGATTAATTTCTTTACTTAGTCTTAAAAAGTTTGATTTCTTCTGCTGTGTGCATGTGATATTTCTACTCAATTATGAAAAAAGTGTGACAACAGAAACCAAGAGTCCAATCCCATAAAGCACTCTCTCACCAAAAATCCTTACACATGTGAAAAAGGCTTGCATGATTGGGCCTCAGGCTTTAATTGGAATGCAAAATGACATTAAATAGGTTTTCATTAAATGTACTATATATGAGCTAGGTATTATTATTAGTCAGAAAGAAGGAAAAAAGACACTTCTGTCTCTACATTATTTGTAATATTCCCTCTTCTCAGCTATCTGAGCACCCTAAGCAATCCTCCCACTTCTCCTTCATCACCACATATGTTCTCTAAATAGAGATAAGGAATCAGCAAATTTCAGTTCTAAATCCTCTTGTTGAGACTAGTGAACACACCCCCTTTGCAGATGTTAGGTAGTTGTGACATAGAGAAGATAATGGAGTAACCGAAGAGCTTTTCCCACCTTCTTTTTCCAGACAGAGCTAGCAACAGATGAGTGTTAAAAAGAAGAACTCTGGGTCTACCTTGTCCCCAGGTTTCTCAAATTTGGACTGATTAGTCCAAATAAGAAAGATAATCTCTTGCAGATGAGAGTATTGTAGGTGACACCATGGTCTTTAGTTTATGTACCAGTTACATTCAGAAGGTCAAATAACACCTCTCACAGTTGTTTCAGGCTATGACATGGGTAACACTGGGAAGGTGATACTTTTCTTTTTTAATGAAAGCTTGTATTTTACAGAAACTGACTCCAGTAAGCAGGCAAATTATGGTCTGTGGGCGGGGAGTCAGAATATGCCTGAACTAAAAAGAATACTCTGTTCACTGGTTATACCTAATATTTACATCATTTAACTTAGTTCCAATACAGTAAGACAGATGATAGCTATTTTTTCTATCCACACTCCAATGCACATGTAAATATTAATGGAAAAACTATTTTTGTTACACAACGTAAGTGTAGAGAACGCAATAGAGCATCATAAAACATGGACTATTTTGATTACATATTCAAGTTTTGTTAGAGATGAAGAAACTGTTTCACTTCCACACACACACAAAAAATAAATCTGATTTTAAAGCGTGCCTATAAACTTTTTCTATTGTGCCTTAAAGACTTGTGCAATCAGGTAATCATTTGTACTACTACTTACCTTCCATATCAGATGCACAGTCCAGGAGTTTGGAGAGTGAGATATGTCAATCTTCCTCCACAGAGGTGGTCCCTTAGATGGTTCTGATATGAAAAAAAAAAAAAAAATTAAGAGGGATACAGATTATTTTTTCATTGGTTTTAAATCATAATACTTTAGCATATCATTAGTCTCCTGCATCTCTTTAAAAAAAGTGTATCCAAGCTAGATGATGCTGTGTTTCAGTATTTCCTTGGGAACCCTTCCATACAGATACAAAAAAAATACTTTAAAAATAAAAGATTGTATATAGTGTTGTTATAGGCATGTTGGTCCCAGGATATGAGACACACACAAGGTGGGTGACCTGAAGAAGAGTTCTGTGTAAACTTGAAAGCTTGTCTCTCTCACCCACAGAACATAACAACGGCCATACTGGGTCAGACCAATGGTCCATGTAGCTCAGTATTTTCTGACAGTGGCCAATGCCAGGTGTTTCAGAGGGAATGAACAGAACAGGTAATCATCAAATGATTCCCCTCGTCACCATTCCCAAGTTCTGGCAAACAGAAGTTGGTTTAATAGAAGATATTAGTTCACTCATCTTACCCCTCCCCCCAAAAGAAAAAAAGAGATTGTTAACTGGAATAATACCATGAGCTTTCTTAGAGTAGAGCCAGTATCCTCCTGGTGTATAAGACAGGAGAATGACAGGTTTCAGAGGAACAGCCGTGTTAGTCTGTATTCGCAAAAAGAAAAGGAGTACTTGTGGCACCTTAGAGACTAACCAATTTATTTGAGCATGAGCTTTCGTGAGCTACAGCTCACTTCATCAGATGTATACCGTGGAAACTGCAGCAGACTTTATATACATATACATTTATATACATATACATTTATTTACATACATATATGTATATAAAGTCTGCTGCAGTTTCCACGGTATACATCTGATGAAGTGAGCTGTAGCTCACGAAAGCTCATGCTCAAATAAATTGGTTAGTCTCTAAGGTGCCACAAGTACTCCTTTTCTTTTTGCGAAGACAGGAGAATGCACTCAATCTTTTAGAAGACCTTCCACACAGGGGTTACTATCGCTACAGAAATATGACTATTATCTTTGTTTACTATTTCTCCTGGCAGTTGTATTCCTTGGAATCTGAAATCTCACCTACGAATGTTTTAAAATAAAAATCAAAGTGATTAATAAAAAGACCCACAGACCAGTCATGATTTACAACTTTTGGCAGCTTTGCTGCATTTTATGGTTTTATCCAAGGTTCCAAGAACATCAAGGTAGAGGCTCAACAACGGCCACTTTCCGCCTCTCTTGTGGAGTGGAACGAAAACCAAGAGGAAACAATTTGTGGGTGGCAGGAGGAGATTTTTCCTCTTCTGTGCCTTACATTATGTTGTAAGTGAACATTTGGGCAACTGTTAGTAATTTGGAAAGTTTCTGGAAAAAATGGAGCATAGACCTTTGATCATTAAAAAATACCACACAAATATTGCCATTCATAGACTTTAAGGTCAGAAGGGACCACCATGATCATTCAACCTTCTTATGGGAGAAGCAGAGATTTGGTTCCATTGGGAACCACCAACACATATTGCATTCATGTCACTGCTAGTATCAGACCAATTAGCACAGAGGAGCGACAAGTGAATGAGGTGAGCAAGAGAGAGTTTTTCAATCCCCACTGTACCATTACAGCAGCGAATGTGGAAAAGGAGCCTATTATTTCCCATCAACTAGCAAGACTGCTGCCAGTATTCCTGGACAATAGTATGTCAAATTATACACATTTGCTTTCTTTTAACCCTTAAAAATCAGGTAAGTGTAACTAGCTTGAAGGTGGAATGCACTTTAAGCATTATAAGCTTACATCCACTACACTCCCTCTCAAAGAGAAGATTGCTCATGGATAATTACCCTCTGCTAAAAATTCCACGCAAGTCAAACTGTAACATCTACCAAAACTAAGACTATTAACACAAAAAGGATAGCACCAAAGTGCTGCTTTAATTGCACCTTTATACTGCATTGTATTGCACTGCATTGCATTTAATACTGTATTGTTAAAAAAAACCAACCTGACCCCGTTCTTAGGGTTTGGCTTTATTAACAAGCAAACGAAGATAGAGTTCAACTCAAGCCTTTTCCCCTGGCTTGGCTCCCACTAGGGTTACCACCTTACGCCTACTACTCAGCCCACATCCTAGATCCCTTCAATAAAGCTATTCCCACCATTCTTGAGAGTCACTGGCCACAAGGGGTAATTAGTCATGTGACCCAAGTCAGCAGAACACACTTAAATCTTTCCCAACAAGATCAACACCTACTAAAAGGGGTAACATTTCAGGCAACCACAGCCAGACATCTGCATGTATTTTGGAGTATCACAATAGTTAACTCCTTAGAAAAATAAACATTAATATCAAATACTACTTACTAGCTTCAGATGTGACCCCACTCTTTTCTTTACTCCAGTCACTCCAGTAGCCCAACCCATCTTTCTTCATACAACGAAGTGAAAACACATACTTTGTATAAGGCTTAAGGGACTGAACAGTGAATGAAGTTCTGTGTGAAGCTGTATCTTCAGGAGGAACCTGCAAAGGTAAAAAAGAGGTCTTGAAAAATGTTACTAGCCACCCAGCAAGATCAGTTAAACCCTTGTACCACTACAATCCTCTTTTGAGTAGACTTTAACACTAGGAGCCCTGTGCCTTGGATTATTGATTTAGCACAGCACTGAATCAAGCCCTGAAACTTCAGTCAACTCTGCATTCTTTGACTTCCAGGAGCTTCATTTCTCAATCAGAGTGGAATTAATATATTTTTTTTGGTGCAGAATATATACATACAGGGTCATGATGTCCATATGAACAGGTGTATGTATTTTGCACTTCACTTGTATTATAATCCATCTCATGCAGGATTATTTTTATTATTCCAAAATTTCTGAGTAGTTTTTAAGTAATTCACATTTTTCGTTGTAATATTCGAAAAACACCTACTGCAGAAATCCCACCCCTGCCTTCTCATACATGCAGTTCCCCCTCCCACTGGTTAAGATTATTCTGATCCCAGCTTCAGAGGTAGGAATATTTGCTCTGGCCCATTCACAACCTTACTGTACAATATACTGCAAGCCATCCATGTTATGAACCCCTCATTCATCCAGTTTAAGAGCTAGGAATCACCCTGTTCCCAATGATGTAAAGTATTTAGGGTTTAGTCATGCTGATTTAGGATACATTTGACCTTAAATCATGACACCAGAGTTTTCCATAAAAGCTATTTTTAGAATTTTACACAGAAATTGGCAAAAAAAAAATCTAAACATTTTCTCCCTCTAAAGTCTGCACAATAGACTCATGGTAGTATACAAGTTTTTACAAGCAGAGATATTAAAAAATTACCAGAAAACAAGATTTATGTCATATACATGCAGAGAAAGATCAATGTGAAGAGCTATAAAGGTTTTATTCATGCTTGTTTAAGATGGCTCTTCATAACTCACTCATAAGCTTTGCCACTGTGATTAATGTGGCCATTCTAAAAACTCACACTAATCCAAACTTTACACTACATATTGTGTACGTGTTTTAGTTAAGATTTAGAAATGTTGTAGTAGGTAAAGACCTTTCTATAAAAGTGCCTCAGAATTGTCACACACACATTTTAATATTCATACTGTAGCAGTGGCAAACAAAATTAAACAAATTTGTATTTCATCCTGGAAATACAATCCTCAGAATTATCAGGTAACAGGCCCAGAACCTCCAGATAAATAAAAGTCACATCTACCCTATGACTATAATATCCTACTATTATAACTTTCAGTCACATTTGTCATAGCAAATCCCTCACATGGCAACAAAAGTGGCTAACAGTTTATCATGCACAGTATTAACACCCTGAGAGTTCAGAGTAAGACCAGTAGAACACCTGACAGAAGACCTCTCAAAGTGCTCATCAGTGGTTTAGTCTTCTGGCTGAAATTCCTCAGAGGAAAAGAAATTAACCCCTCCACCTGAGTACAATGAAATATATCACCCTGTGCAGTAACTGTAGTTCTTTGAGATGTGTGTTCCACTTTAGGTGCGCATGACCTCCTGCACCTTTGATTGGAGATTTTTGGTAGCAGTGCCCATTCAGCTTCTGCATGTGCTCTACCCATCTTTGTGCCCCATACTGAGGCTACATAAGGCTGCGCGGGTGAACCATCCTCAGCACTTTCTCTACTGCAAAGCCCCACAGAGGCAGCTCCAGAGAAGAAGGGAGGAGGGTTGGCTGTGGAGCACCCACATGGACATACATCCCAAAGAATTCCAGTTGCTGCAGAAGGCATATAACCTCTCCTTCTTTGAGAAAAGTGTCCCTGTGGATGCTCCACTTTAGGTGACTCCCTAGAAGTAACCCCTTAAGGAGGTGGGAGTTTTGGATCAGTCTATTACTGAAGAAAGAACTGTGTTGCCTGCTGCAGCATCTGATCTTGCAGCATGACCTAAGGCACAATGGTCGGAAAACGTGTGCACTGAGGGCTACGTTGCAGCCCTGTACATTTCAGCAACTGGAATAGGGCTGCAGACTAGATTGATCTAGAAGAGTGCACAATCAAATCTATGAGGAGGTGACGCCTCAATAAAACCATAAACAGGCAATAATGAGAGATCCATTTAGAAATTTCTGAGTGGAGACAGATGCTCCCTTAGACCTCTCTGCAACAGACAAAGTCTATGGGTCTTCCTGAATGGCCTAGTTCTGTCCAAGTAAAAGACTAACGCCCCCTTAACATCTAGTGTATGAAAGAGACTCCTACATAAATTGATGTGGCTGAAGAAAGAAAAAAAAAAAAAAAAAAAAAACCTGGAAAGTGAAGTTTGGTTAACGTGAAATTCAGAAGAAACCTTAGGTAAAATCTTTGGGTGGGACTGTAATGATACTTTCTCCTTGGAGAACACTGGAACCCTCATCCTACCCAACCCTTCCAGCAGAAGTGATGGCCACCAAAAAGGCTTTGTTCATAGTCAGATGTAGCAGCTAGCACGTAGCAAGTGGCCCAAAGGGCTGTTTCACGAGATGGTTAAGAACCAGGTTGAAATCCCAAAGCAATGTAGGGGCCCTAATCTGTAGAGAAAGATTCATAAGGCTTGTTAGGAATTGCATTGTGGTCAGAGGAGTGAAAAATCGAGAAACCTTCTTCTGGCACATGGAATGCTGTTACTGCTGCTAAATGAACCTTGATGGAACTCATACAAAGGCCTGAAGTTTTCAATTCCAATGGGTAATCCAAGATTGTGGAAAGAGACAACTGGATATGAGAAAGATGGTGCTGGTTACACCAAAGATTATATCTTCATCGTTTCTGAAGTATGTCTTGTAGATTCTTTTCTGCTATTTTGTACATTTTGTACTTCCAACGAACAGGCAGCTTTTAGTCCCAAGAGCCACTGATGAACCATGCTTGCTTTTGCAGAATGTTCAGACTGGTGTGAAGCATGTGACCTGCATCCTGATACAGCAGTCAAGGTTTGATCAGGAGCTGCCATGGACAAGAGTCAAGTTTGATGAGGTAAGGAAACCAAACTTGTCTTGGCCATGTTGGCGCAATCAAAATGACCTTGGCTTGGTCTGATATTGATAAAGACCTGTCTGATATTCATAAAGACCTTTAAGAGTAATGAAGTTGGAGGATAAGAAAAAAACCTTTTGTCCATTTAATGAGAAAAGCATATTGAAGAGACTGGGAATTCAGTCACTCTCTGGAACAGAATTTCCTACACTTTGTGTTGAGAACCATGGCAAAAAGAAGGCTAACCTCTGGAAATCTCTAAGCTATGAATATTTTATTTAGGACTTGAGAGTCCAACTCCCATTCATAATTTAAGGAGAAATGTCTGCTGAGTGTGTTGTATATCCAGGAGGTAAGAAGCCAAGATGACTATGTACCAGTTTCAAAAGATTTATCAGTTTGGCGCAAAGTGAGGGGCAATATGCTCTACCCTGATGACTGATAATACATGCAATCTACATTGTCTGTCATGATCCTGATGGACTTGTTTTTGAGTAACGGAAGAAAATGAAGGCAAGCATTTCTGACCACTCTTAACTCCAACAGATTTATGTGCAAGTGCTGTTCTTCTTGGGAACATCTTTCCTGGACTGTGAGAGGACATAAATGTACTCTCCATCAAAAGAGGGAAGTGTCTAATGTTAACATGACCATAGAGGGATTCTGTCTGAATGGGATTCCTGCACAAATCTTGGATAGATTATTCCACTAGGTGAGTGACTGTCGGACTTGACTGGCTACAGATACCTGCTTGTTCAGACTGTGTTTGCTGGGTACAGAAACTGTTCTGAGCTACCCCTGGAGACATCAAAGGTGCAATCTGGTGTTTTGTGTAATAAAAAATGCAAGATGCCACATGTCCCAGGTGTTGCAGATGTGTCCTTGCTGCAACTTGAGGGCTGAGCTGCACTCTTTGGATAAGGGCCTTTAGAGCAAGGAACCTGTTGAGAGGGATCAAATCCCTCCATTATCAAATCCAAAAATGCTCCTATAAAGAGAATGTGTTGTGTGGGGGTTAAGATCTATTTCTACATTTATCTGCAGGCCTAGACTTCAGAACGAAGTTGTTGTTTGAACTGTCGACCACATCTGAAATGACTGACCCTAGAGAAGCCAGTCATTAAGGTAGGGAAAGGCACGTAGTCCTAGACGACAGAGGTAGGCAGCTATGACTGCCGTGATTTTTGAGAACACCCTTGGGGAGGATGACAAGACAAAGGGTCTATTGTCAGAATATTTAATTATGAAATAAACCTGCAAACTAAACTAAATCTAAAAGTCAAATATTCTCCAGACAAAAGTACATTTAAAGAGCACCAGTTCATACATGTCTAATGAGACATACTGGAAAATCAAGCACAACGCATACATTACCAGGACCAAAGTCACAAATTAATCCTGTGTACAATGTATGTATCTTTGATGGGTGCTCGAGTGACACATTCCACACTGAAGATGAATAACTAGGTTTACATTCAGAGCACGTAAGTAATTAGCCTGAATCAAATTCCATCAGTCCTTAATGTTTGTGGACAAGAACTTTATAGTAAAAATTGTTATTGTCCTTCTCTGATGTTAAAGTAAAAAAGCAAAGTAAGAACCATTCTATTTTAGATTTTCTTGTTGCAATTGTCACTGGATATCATCCAACAAGATGGAAGCAATTAGCAGAAATGTGTTGTTAGAGACTGTCAAACGAAATTCTCTCTCTCTCTCTCTCTCTCTCACAAAATTTAAACTCCGCAGAAGTGCTGTGGAACGATTTCTAATGAAGGTAGAAGTTCTGAAAGAAAGCATTTGAAACAATATTGCAAGGTAGACTAGCACTGTGAATACCTGAAAGTGAAAATGACAACAGACTGTTTCATTCACATTATCTGAGGCCATGTCTACACTAGTGATCTTACAGTGGCACAGCTGTAGCGATGCAGCTGCGCTGCTGTAAGATCGCTCATGAGAGCTCTCCTGTCAACATAAAAAAAACCACCTGCATAAGCAGTGGTAGCTTTGTCGGCGGGAGAAGGTCTCCCACTGACACAGCACTGACCACACTGGTGCATCTGTCAGTGTAACTTATGTCGTTCGGGGTGTGTTTTTTTTTCACACTCCTGAGCAACATAAGTTATATCGACAGAAGCGGTAGTGTAGATATAGCCTAAGGGATTGCACAACCTGAACTCCAGTCAATTTTTAAGAAGTGAGTTAAATAGTTTCAGATGCTAGATCAGTTGCCAAATCTCCCAGCCAGTTTTTATTTTGTTCTTTAAAAATGTTGTTCATTCCCTATTGTTGTGAGAAAAAAAAAATATTTACAATAAAGGAGAAAATATATAAAGGGTTCCTGAAGAGGGACAGGGAAGGACGTTGGAAGGGCAGGAAGAAGGTAAATTGGATAACGTAACCCAAAGTAATGGCCTCCAATATCTATTTGTCCATCAAGCCTCCCATGCTTGATGAAAGAGAGAGAGGAGGTGCCCAAAATGAGGAAGGGGAGTTGTGTCATGCAGCTGTGAAAATCTGGTCATTGGGTGGCTTGGATTCTTGCTGTCCAAACAACAAAACTGGTGTTTGAACAATGCTGGAGACTAGGATGAAGTAGTCCAGGCAGTTTCAGGTTTTTTCTTTGAAAATCTTGACCTCTTAGCTGGTTTTTCTGGTGGCGTATGGTAGGTAGATAATTGAGCAGAGCAGAATCTTTGTGCCGACTGAGACCTGCTAAACGTCCTCTTTTTTGTAGGGTGTGTATAACCCTAAAGACTGAAGTGTTGTCACAGAGTCCTTCAAAGGTATGAAGCGAGTAGTCTGTGGAATCTGCAAAAAGCTTCTGCCATCGAAAGGTAAATATTCCACTAGGGATTGTGCCTCTTGTGGAAACCCAGACAACTGAAGCCAGGAAGTTCACCTCATCACTACTGTGGTGGAAACAGACCAGGCTTCAGTGTCTGCTGCATTGATTGAAAACTGCAGTGTTTTTGCCGAGAACCGACCCTCCATTATTATGGCGATGTACTGTTCTCGATGTTCCTTTGGCAAATGGTCAATAAAAGCATTGAACTACTCATAGTTCAGGTAGTCATATTTTGACATCAGCGCTTGGTGATTAGCCATCCTGAACTGTAAACTGTAATGTTGCTGACAAGTAGCACCTACGACCAAAAAGGTCCAGACGTTTCTGGTCCTTCTTATAAGTGGAGGTTTCTGAATATGTTGCTTGCCCCTTTCATCGATTGCATCCATAACTAGAGAATTTGGTGCTGGGTGAGAGAATAAAAACTCAAAAATACTATGTCCCAGCCAGGGCTTCTATTAACCTGCTTTCATGTAGTGGGGGTAGTAGTGGTAGGCTCCAGCTGTTCTTGGCTGACTCTAGGAAGGCTTTATTAATTGGCAGTACCACCATGCTGAGGCAGAGGTGTGCAAAATGTCGAGGAGCTTGCGAGGTGAATCCTGGACTTTTTCCAGGGAAATTTGCAAGGTGCCAGTGACCTGCTTCATTAGTTACTGGAATAGCCTAAAGTCACCAGCCAATGATAGCAGTGGTGGCATTATTGCCTTGTCAGGCGACAATGACATGTTTGTAAAAGGGGGTCACCTCCTTGTCTATCCTTGCCTCTTGTTCCTCAAATGTCTACTCAGGCTCAGAGCTGAGACACCCTTCCCAAGAGCAGTAAAGCAGCGAACTAAATGAGAGAAAGGGTACCAGCAGTCACAGGTATCAATACATAATGGGATGGAACACCCCCCACACCCCCAAAGAAACCGTCATTGAAGAGAAATAAGTTATGTAGTGCAGTAAAGCAGTACTTCTGGAGGTGGCAATACAGTGAGGAAAGTATGGCTTATATAGTACCAAGGAAGGGCATTGAAGCAACAGATGAGCTTCTGTTGCTCATGATGGTGAATGGGGACTCTGGATTAGTGTGGCAGAGTGCACAAGAAATCAATAAAACATTTAAAATAAGGTTACCTCCATCCAGTCTGTGCTGTCACTGATCCTGTATCGAATATTAAATTTCAGCTCCATCTCAACAACTATGATTTGGTTCTCCCATGACAGTTTCAAGACAGTGGGTAGTTCTCCCGAACTGACTGTTAAGATGCGTGGAGGTAGAGGTTTCACTAGAAGAGAATGAGAAAGTACTGAATTTTCCAAGTGCTGTATTGTTTAATTCATATGTATAGCATGAAGTATGGTATTTAATGCACCTGGCATATTTTTATTGGTTTACAAGTTCATTTCTCTTTTATATTCTCTAGACTACTCACTGACAGTACCAGATGCCTGAAGAGTGCACTTTCTTTGGAGGAGATGATGTACTGTAGAAAAGCTGAACAATGAGGTCTGTAATTTTCCACCTTTCAGAAATGAAAGGCCAGATTCTAGTCCTGCTTACGGCTGCATAAACCTGGCTGGAGTAGTACTATCCCTGACTAGGTGACTATACTATAGTGGTTCCTATGGCACCCCGCCAGTCCCGGTGTAGATGTGACTCTACTCTGGTGATAACTGGCTGCCAGAAAGGCTTTTTTGGGGTGAGAATTGGTAGGTCCAATAGGTTGCTACACTTTACATTAGAAATTGGCTGGATAGCAGGCTGCTTCCCCCCCCAAGATCTGGAGCGAGGTGGAGAGAGAAAAATCAGCATCACCTTTCATATCAAGACTTCTGCCCAGCACTGCTCAGGATCTAGTCCATAGTATACTACTTTTTGGAGCACAGAACTACTGTTGCCAACAGCTTAAAGTATTTTACAATATAGAAACAGCATCTACACGCTAGTTCAACAATATTCAGAGAGGTAGCAATTCGTTCTATTGCAATTCTCCAGTACTTCAGGATCTTAATTAAAGCATATAGTTACCAATGTCCACAGGATCAAAATTAATGTGCTCAGATTCAGCCTTCCCAAGGGCATTCTTAGCTTCCACCCAGACCTCCAGGTTGACAAAAAACTGAACATTGGAAATCTCACAAGAGTTATTTACGCCTTTTGGTTTGCAGTCAGGCAAGGTTTCTAGTGGCCTAAATTGAGAGTTAAAGAAAAAGCAAGGGTAAAATAAAGCAGTAATTTGCATTTATACAAAGCACTTTCTATCCAAAGATCTCAAAGTGCTTTAAAAAGGAATGAATCTAGCCCTAGTCATCCAGTAAATGTGCAGCAAAGCTGGTACTAGAACCCTGGTCTCTCAAATCCAAGTCCCATGCCTTAACAAGAAGCCCAACCATCCTTAGTTACGGAATTAAAATACATAACTTTTTTGTAAAGTGATAAGGTGGGTGAGATAATATCTTTTATTGAACCAATTTCTGTAGGTAAAAGAAAAACTTTTGAGCTACAGAGACCTCTTCCTTCAGGTGAAGCGATAGGTATAACATGAAAGGGACCCAGGCTTCAGACTGGGACACGATATGGAGACAATATTAACAGCTCTAAAGGATGACCTATGGTGTATATTCATTAAAAGCACTGAAGTTTTATGACACTGCTTTACTTCTCTGCAGCTTTCAACACAGCAACAAGGTGCTGCTGACTTGCTTACAGCTGCAATAGACAACACATCACCACAATGGCTTCAATTCTTTTCAAAAGCTACCCAGAATTGGGATGGGAATCTATTCCTCTTCCCTAAAACTGATCAGCTGGGGAGTCTTGCATCCTGTCCATCTCCACCCCAGTAATCTACATGAAATCTCCTGAAGAGGTTGAGACATGTAATGGACCCTGTAGTGAACAATTCATTGACGACACCCTTACCACCAAGCTTTCACCTCATTTTGAACAGATATTACCAGTGCCTTTCTTGTGAAGTTTAGTTACGATTAAAAGAGACATCAACTTTTGGATGCAAAGCGGTTGGCTGGTTCAAACTGAACCTAAGCAAGACTGAAGTGACACTAGTGGGAGAGTACAAGCAATCTGAGCAGCTCATAGCTTTCTCACCATAACCAGAATCAAGGTTAAAACAAACAAACAAAAAAAGACAGACACCCAACCAAAAAAGCTGTCTTCAAGGGTAAAGAACATAACCTACTGGACTATCACCATTCAGATTTATTTACCTGTTCAGCATCAGTTACAGTGATGCTTGCCACAGAAATACCCATAACTGATACAGAATCTGGTTCAAGCTGTACAATAGCTTAATACCAATGAGATCTGTACAGGACTCTCTTCCCTAGACTTTCTCTGTCTTGGAAAAAATCATTTTATTTGCTTAAGTTTAAAATCTTAAACTGTAGGACAAACTTGAGTTGTCAAATGTTTTACCCTGACAAACAGGCTACAGCAGCTTCAGAAGTCTAAATTTACAGTCTAACTCAAAATATATTCTTTCAAAAAATTTTTTAACCATCTTAAAATATTGGAAAATTTTATTTAGCCTACATGCAAAACCCTAAAAACGATGAAGACGTGATATAACTGCCTTTTATAAAGTTTAAACAAGATACTTACCATTGAGATTTTAAACAGAAATCAGTGGCTAGGAATGTATCCCTTCCAGGATTCCAGGTACAAGTCATAATAAATTTATTTTTTGACATTTGACGCACAACGCAACTCAAATTTTCAGGCTTCTCTGGGGGCACTGTATGAAAAAAGTTACTGTCTGTAATTTATGTGCACATACATTTGATTCCAATGAAAGCAGCGATGAATACACCGTTGCAAGAGTAATTTAGTTAAAATGAGAAAATTTATTTACTGTTGCATTTAGTAAATGCTAAATATTATGAGATAGAGAACATCTAGTGAAGTGTAATGCATAGATGCCTTGAGAAAAAAAGTGTGCAGTGGTAGGAGTCATCACTGTACAGAAAACATGATCTGGGGATGGAATGAAGTTTGGGACAGCGTAAGGCCTAGAAGGCTAGCACAGAATGCACTGGAAAGGAAGGCAGCAGTGATGGCAGCAGATCTGTTTGTGAAGGAAAAGGAAGAAATAAGAGACCACACATTGCTGTAGTATTGATAATATTTCAGGAGTTTTAGCTATGAAGATGTTAACAGATCACAATGGCTTATTATTATAGATAGGTTCTCTCACATACACAAGATACCATGTGTACAGAATGGGTAAAATTTTTGATTTTTTTTGTATAATTGTTCGAGAGGAAGAAGGGTTAAGAGGATATGCCAAAATGTCCTTGAAAAACATTTTCTACAAGGCAGAGAAGAAAATGGAACATTCTTGACAACTTTATACAGTATCTCGGTGTACGTAAACATTTAATGGAAAATTTACAATATTCAAAGAAGAAAGAGAGAGGAATAAAAAGCTACTTACAGCCCAGTGTAACTGCAATTCCATAGATATTCTGTTCAATCTGTCCATCTGCTAAAACATTGCATGTCAGAGGAGTAGCTAAAGTAGAGGTGTCTCTAAATGTGACGCTGGAAACAGTTCTGTTTATTACACGGTATTGTTCTTTAGGCACTACAGAACTTTTGATTTTCCAAATAATCTGACTGGCATGTATATTGCCAAAGTCAAGACAACTTTCATTGAGAATGCACAGTGCTGTAAAATTGGAGCCAAGGGTCAACAGTGGAGACTCTGGGATGATGTAACCGCATGACTGCACAAGTCCCCCTGAAACTAAAAAGGATAAAATCAATTTGAAATATCACATTTCCATATGAAATCTTTGTATTACTATTGCTACAAATAATCTAACACTCCTGCTATTGAAAGATTAGGAAAAATATTTTTGAAGACTATTTTGTGCATCTGGCTGTATGTGTGTATAGACAGCTACACTTGCCCTGCACAATACAGTGTATTTCTTGTCTAATGCACTAGCATGAGCAAATCACTCCTGCACAGATTTAGGGGAAGTCCATGTGCATACTCTTCCTCAGGTATTGCAAGAGAATGTTACCAGTAACAACAGAAGAACTGGAATTGAAATGACAGAGACAGAGAAAATGAGGTTAAAGATGGGAAGCTTAAGTATCTTTTTTTTTCTCCTACACTCATCCTCTCCCCACTGCTGGAAAGACCTTTGTAAACAACAACAAAAATACCCATTACAAAAATTCTGTACATGCTATTTTAAAAGGTGCTCTATCAAAAACGAGACTTCTGAAATTATTCAGTCCCGTCCCCCCAAAAAGTTGCTTGAGTAGCAATTATCACAACAATTGTATCTTTAGGAAATTCAGTAAATTTTTCATTTAAAGAATCTCTATCTAGCACAGGGGTGGGCAAAATACGGCCATGACTAACATTTCTGTCCGGCCTCCTCTGCCCGGTCGCGATCTCCGAGTCCGGGCCGCTAAAAGTCCTGTGGCGCAGCAGGGTGCTCAGGCAGGCTGCCTGCCTACCGTGGCCCCACGTCGCTCCCGGAAGTGGCCGGCTGCTGCTGGCACATCTCTGTGCGTCCCTGGTGGGGGGATGGGAGGCGGCTCCATATGCTGCCCCCACCCCCAGCACCATCCTCACAGCTCCCATTCGCCGGTTTCCTTGTGGGGCGGTGCTTGAGGGCGTGGGCAGCACACGGAGACCTGCTGCCCCTCTCCCCCAGGGGACGTGCAGAGACATGCCAGCAGCAGCCGGTCACAGCCACTTCTGGGAGCAGCATGGGGCTATGGCAGGCAAGCAGCCTGCCTGACCCCTGCTGTGCTGCCAGCCAGGAGCCACCTGTTGGAAAGCGCCTCCCAGCCAGAGTCTGCACCTCGCACCCCTCCTGCACCCCAACCCCCTGCCCCAGGTCAGAACCCACTCCTGCACCCAAACTCCCTCCCAGATTCTGCACCCGCTCCTGATCTCCAATCCCCTGCCCCAGCCTGGAGCACCCTCCTGCACCCAAACTCCCTCCCAGACCCCGGACCCTCTCCATTAATATAGTAGAAATGTGTTGCCCGTGACAGCTTGCCAAAATTCACGGAGTGGCCCCCCTGTGAAAATTATTGCCCACCACGATCTAGTATATTGAAATGAATGGAATATATATTCATCAAAATAATGAATACAATCCATATCTGTTTAGATTTCCACTCAACAGTTATTTTCCCTACTAAATTCCCCCGGACATGTAATGAACCAAACAAAAGAACTTTTGGTTTTTCTGAGTCAGTCAACTGGTGACCAGCTAGCAAAGCCCAATCATGGGGAATATGCAGGTCATCATATTTCTCACTAGGAAGGCAGTGGATTTCATACAACTAATCACAAAAAAAAAGCCAGTTACCTTGCCTATTCTGTAACTGTTGGTCTTTGAGATGTGGATGCAGACACGTATTCCACTCAGGAATGAGCATGCCCAGTACATTGAAGCCAAAGAACTTTGCCTAGCCATATCCATAGGGTCAGTGCTTGCGTCCTGTGGACATTAGCCCCTCCCCAGGCTATTTAAGAGCAGCACTCTTCTTGGTTCCTTTGCACTGATCATCAAGGGCAAAGACTCTGATGTGCGGGGGGGGGGGGGGGGGGCAGAGGATGGGTTGGGGAATACATGTCTGCACCCACATCTTGAAGAACACCAGTTACAGAACGGTCTTGCCTTCTCTGAGTGGTTGCAGATGTGTATTCCATTCAAGGGACTCATAGACAGTACTTGTAGAAGGTGGGGCTCAGAGTCCATTTCAACAATGACTTTAGAACTGTCTTGCTAAAGTTTGCATTTGACAGTGATACTGCAGAAACAGCATAATGTTTGGTAAACGCATGTACTGAAGACCATATTGCAGACCTGCAAATGTCCAGTATTGAAATATTGGTAAGTAATGCATTCAGTGTTGCTTGGGATCTCAAATGACACCGTAATGTCTGTGGGGGCAAATAATAAGATACTTCATATGCCACGGTAATACCCACTTGAAAGTAGTCTGCAAAGAGACTGCCTGACCCTTCACAGGAGACGAAAAGTTGAGGAGAGGCCTGAAAAAGGATTAGTCCCCTCTAAGAAAAATCCCAGACATCGTCTCACCTCCAACATCTGAAGTCGTTGTTCATGTGAATTCGAATACAGTTTAGGAAAGAATGCTGGCAAGTAAATCACTTGGTTAGAGGGAAACTGCAAAACAATTTTTGAGAAAAATTTTGGATGTCACCATAGGGCCACTTTGTCTTTGAAAAACTGAGTACAAGGGGCTCCAACATAAAAGCCTGAAGCTCGCTTACTCTCCTTGTAGATATTATTGCAAGAAGAAAGGGTGTCTTCTAGCACAGAGTGACAGAAAATATGTTGCCAGAGGCTTGAATGGAGGCCCCATCAGGGCAAATAAGACTGGATTAAGGTCTCACAAACTGAACCCGTCTTTCCCAGGAATGTGGAGATGAATGACTCCTTTCAAAAATCTCACTACTATGGAGATTGAGAAAATTGACTTCCCTTGGATGGGCAGATGAAACACTGAGATCACTGCAAGTGAACCCTCAATGAACTGATCAAGAGACCAGAAGATTGAAGACATAACAGATATTCCAAAATGTCCTGAATACAGGCCAGTATTGGCTGAATACCCCTGAGCTAGCGACCAAACTGAAATTCACTTCCACTTGGCCAAATGCATAGCCCTAGTAGAGGGCCTCCTACTATTAAGCAACACTTGTCAAACAGCTTCTGAATGTCGTTCCTTCTCTTCATCTAGCCATGCCACATCCACGCCATGAGATGAAGACTGTTCAGTGCTGGAAGCAAAATCTGACTGTGGTGGTGGGTCAGTAGGTCAGGATAAAGAGGTAGACATATGGGCAGACAAATCAATAGACTGAGAACCAACATGGCCTCAGCCAAGCTGGTGCACTGAGAATCAGTGTCAAACTTCAGTCTGAGAATGACCTTTGGGATGACTGGAATCTGGGAGGTTTGGGGGGGGGGGGGGGGAGGCATACATGAGCACTGATCCCCAGTTCAGGTGGAAGGCGTCTGTCAAGGAGCCTGGACTCAGGTCTGCTTGGGAGCAAAACAGATGGCCCCTATCTTTTGTCGCAAACAGGTCGATAGCCAGAATGCCCCTTTCCCAAAGATGGACCTTAACACACTGTTCAGAGACCACTTGTGATTCTGAGAAAAGACACTGCCAAGGTGATCAGCTGAGCAATTCCATACCTTTGATAGATAAGCTGCTGTGGAATGATATTTTCCTTGACACAGAACTGCCAAAACGTCACTGCCTCCTGACAAAGCTGGCTGGCGTGAGCTCTCTACTGTTCGTTCACACAGTATACCATGGTAGTATTTTTGGTGAGAACGGCTGTGTCTTCTACGTGTAACTGAAAGGGCCAGCACACACTGTAAATAGTTCATAGCTGCAGGACGCTGATATGAAGGGAAGCTTCCAGATCTGGCCACAGTCCCAGAACTTTCGAAGTCCCCAGATGTACTTCCTAACCTATTGTGGGGGCACCAATCACTCCTGTTATGACTGGTGGAGAATGGCTGAAGGGAACACCCCTGCAAAGATTGATATGGTCTGTCTACCACTCAAGGAACTGCAGAATGGGTGACCACACTTGCACTAGGGAGTCCAATGTCTGACAATTTGGGCAATAGACCCAGTTCGGATGATACAGCTTGAGCCAGGCCTGAAGAGGACAAAGATGCAGTCTCGCATTCTGGACTGCATAAGTACATACAGCCATATGACCTAGCAATTTCAGGCATACTCCAACTGTGGTGGAAGGGTGAGCTTGGAGGGACAGACAGATGATGACTTGTCTGAAATTGCTTCCTTGGCAGAAATGCCCTCACACTCATAGAAGTAGTAGGGCCCAAATTAACTCATTTTTTTGCGTTGGTACTAAAGTTGATTTTGCTTTGTTTATGATCAGATCTAAATGATTGGAAAGATACAGAGAGAACAGGACATGGTGGAGGAGTTGGTCTCTGGACTTGACCTTCACCAGTCAATCATCCAGGCAGGGAAATACATTGTATTCCTCTTCCCCGAGAAGTGCAGCTATTACTGCTATGCATTTGGTAAGAGCTTGAGGAGCAGAGAAGCCAAAGGGGAGCACTGATATTAATAATGCTGACCTACGACCACAAAACTTCAGCAGCTTCCTGTGGCTCAGGTAAATCGCCACTTGGAAACAGGCATCATGAATACTGAGGGCAGCAAACCAGTTGTGATTCAAAGCAATAGCTAGGGTAACCATGCAGAATCTCATATACCTCATGTACCTGTTAGGTCTAACTTCTACCTTGCATCTGGCAATCAGGAAATACTGTGAGTAGAATCCTTTTCCCTAGTGCTACAGAGGGATTTCCTCTATGGCTCCCATAGTTCAGACCTGCTGAAGGAGCAGTGACTCATCAGAGGGGCCCCTCAAAAGGGATGGGGTGGGAGCATGGAGAGGACTGAATGACATAACCTAATCCCACAGTGCTTAGGACCCATTTGTTTAAGTTTATAGCTTCCCAAGCACTGTGGAAGTGAGAAAACCTGTCTGCAAATGGCAGAAGGTTTGCAACTGGAATGCTACTCTGACAATCAAAACTGCTGCTTGTCTGAAGCTGAGGGAGGATGGGCTGAATGATTAAAGTTAGAGACCCAGATGGTCTTCTCCTGTGTTATTTATTCTGCTTCTTGGAGTAGTATCACTGTCTTGCCTAATATGGCTCCTGCCAGAATACTGCTGGGGCTGATATTGCTGTTGCTGCTGCAGCAGGGGTATAAAACCCTAATAAATGGAGACGCTCATAAGTTTTTAAAACAAAAATAAAGTCTCATCCATTTTGTCAGAGAACAAAAATGGACCATCAAAAGGTAGGTCTTCTGTGCTCTGCTGGATCTCCAGAACTAAGCTGCAGTTCTGCAACCACAAGGCCCTGATCATCAAACACTGATGCCTTAACTCTGGAAGCAGTGTCCGTTATGTCGAGCACCTACTGGAAAGCCATCTTGGCAACCAGACAGCCTTCTGCAATGAATGCCTTGAACTCTTCTCTAGAGCAGTGATTCTCAACCTTTTTTCTTTCTGAGCCCCCCAACATGCTATAAAAACTCCATGGCCCAGCTGTGCCACAACTGTTTTGCTGAATATAAAAGCCAGGGCCAGCATTAAGGGGTAGCAAGCAGGCCAACTGCCCAGGGCCCCATGCCCCAGGGGGCACCGCAAAGCTATGTTGCTCAGGCTTTGGCTTCAGTTCTGGGTGATGGGGCCCTGGGATGTAGTCCTGCGTGGCGGGGCTTTGGCATTCTGCTCTGGGCCTTAGCAAGTCTAACGCCAGCTATGCTTCACAAACCCCCTGAAACCTGCTCATGGTCCCCCAGGGCCTAGAGGATGCAGTAACTTGTCCTTGAATTTTGCTACAGACTCCCAATACACAGAATCATATTTCAACAGCAGCCTGCGGGTCTGTACTGCACATTTCCAAGGATGAGCTTCTATAAATTTTTCTCCCCATGCAAAGGTGGATTAAGATTTATTGGGGCCGTGGGCACAAAGAACATTGGAGCTGCCCACCCCCTGCCACAGCACCCTGTCCCCTTCTTCTCCCTTCGTGCCAAGCCCCACCTACTGACCTTGCCGGAAGCTGGGCTGCTGTGGGGAACCCTGGACCCTCGACCTGCCCTGGGCTGCATGCCCTAGTGGGCAGGGACACAGACTGGGGGCTGCTCTCAGGACTTCCTCCCAAATAAGTCTAGCTTCTTGCCCTCTGTTTTTAGGGGACTGATGCCTGGTGCTCCTGTCCTTCTTTCTCACTGGTTGCCGCCAACACAAGGGAGCCCAGAGGAGAATGATTATATAGGTGCTCAAACCTCCTCTCCACTCTTTTTGCAGTCAGGGCAGGGAAGCTGGGGTCTGCTTGAGGACCTTGGTAGTTTTAAAATGTCATAAACAGGAAGAGCTATTTTAGCTGGGGCCACAGATGCCAAGATGTCCACCAGCCTGTGGGATTTTTCCCAGACCTCCTTCGGGTGGATGTCTAGGGCCATAGCCATCCTCCTCTACAACTCCTGATGAGTCTTAAAATAAATCAGGAGACGGAGAAATAGGTTCCACTATAACTGCTTCATCAGGGGATGATGAAGAGGATGCCTATGTTACCAAGGGCTGGTCCAGTTTCTGCTCCTCTTGTGGCTGCTCACGAGAGGGATCCCAAATCTGTTCGGTGCCAGGCTTGGCACTGACACTAGGGTGCTTGCAGCATCGATACTAGACAGCCAGTAGATAGACCCAGCTGAGGTAGCTGTAGGGATGCTCTTCATTGAGGGGGGAACTCCCACCAGTTCCAAAAGGGCCACTGTTATGGCCTTGGTTCCCAAAGGTGCCTGGCCCCAAGGTCCTTTCAATAACCCCCTTACTCGTACTGATGCTGAAATCAGGACGGGCAGGTGGTATACCCCAACAGTGGAGCCAGCTAGGTTGGGACGCAGACTTCTGCAGAGTCCAATGAAGATAATGACTTCCTGCAACCAAGGTGGTGCCGTACCTGTCAATACTCGTGAAGAAGGTTCAGACTATGAAGGGGAACTGGGGAGATCATCTGTGGCTTTCCCCTAGACGGTACCACTTTAATCAATACCCTGATAGGTGAATCAGCTGGAACTGTGCAGTGCAGAGGTAAAGCCACTGACGTCAGTATCTTGGATGCCAGGCAAATCTTTTGAACTGCTGGTGAAAGTGGCACCGCGAGCTTTAACAACTCTCTTGACACCTCAAATGCTTCAGGAGCAGATGGTACTGGGAAAACAGTCTGTGATACCAGGGCGTGAGGGTGTTTTGGGAGCCAGTCTTGCAGACCTGCACTAGGCTCTAAAATCAAACTCCAGCGCTTAGAGGTGTGCTCTGGGAAATGTGTCCGCTTTGAATCCCCTCATGATTCCTTAGAACAGCTTGACCTCTTTACCTCTTTCAATGATCCCAGTACAGAGTCCAGTTTCTTATGCCTCTTCTTTGGTATCAGCAATGCCAATCTGTCCCATGGTACTAGTAACACCAGAGGTGTGCTACAGACCGAAGCCAAGGTGCTCGGTACTCGGCCCTAAGTAGATGTCTCAGATAAGAGGATGTAGTGTCAATTCTAGAAGCATATATTTCAATCTAACTGCCCTGCCCTGTTTTTTTTTGTAATGGGGCTTAAAGTCCTTACAAATGCCACACTGGTCACTCATGTGAAGCTCCCCCAAGCACTTAAAGCAGCTGGGGTGAAGGTCGCTATTAGGCATTACCTTACCACAAGACTGGCAGAGCTTGATACCCAAAGAGTGAGGCATCTCTCTGGTAACAGGGCTGGTACCCAAAACAACATTTTTTTTTAAAACACTAATCAACTAACAACTAAAACTACACTAACTATACAATGTGTACTATTTACAAGTTCAACTGAAGACTTGCAGATTCAAGGAAAGGGAGCTCCAACAATCATCATGGGAGGTTGTGGGTGGCTCTGCCCTTAACACCTGCATGCAGTGCGTGAGGCACCAGACGACGCTCATGCCACCCCGGTGGGTACTGCTAAAGGGAAAAACTGACAACCCTGCACTGGAATGCGCACAACGACAGTGGAATTGACATGCGCAATCGCTCAATGTGGCATTTTCGGTTGACTCACATTAATTCCTTTCTTTTGAAGGGAACGCTTCATGACTCTCACAATTGTGAGCCTAAAATAACTAAAATCTCTACTGAAGAGAGAAAAGTACAGTCTGTGTACTGAAATGCAGAACCAATGTAAGAATTACCACACCGGCACAGGATTTATTGATTACATATACTATCGTAGGCCTCAGGTACTAAAGGGAATGAGTTACAAACCCACTTTTTAAAAATCTGTTCAGTTATTCAGTATGCAAATTAAGCATAAATTAATAGATCACTAGTCTAAGAATTACAGATTTAAAGTTGCTACTTAGCCCTTAGTATCCATGAATGACACCAGATTATCCCACTGAAGAGACGTACTAGATATTGCTCTCAATTCTCCTGAAGAGGAAGCGATGGTTATGAGTGAGCCAGCCTGCATGAGAACCACTATGTCACACCTAGTGATCCAGTCTGCAGCTTCACCTTCCTTTGCTGGAAGTATATGGGCAAAGTAGGGAGCAAAGCACACAGAAGTGCTGCAGTAGTGCAGCCAACTAAGCAGGACAGCATTCCTACATTAGAGGCTGTATTCTAGGGAGATAAAGAAAACACAACATGTGTGTCTGCAAGGTAGGAAAGGGACAGAGAGAAAACAGAAGGACAAAGGAAAGAAAGAAAAAAAAGAGGTGAAAAACCAAGCAGAGAGGGAAACAGAAAATTACAGTACGAGACAAAAAAATAAAAATTAATCTAATCAATAACAGCATCTGCTATCGATCAGATAGAAAATGGAAAAAAAAAAGACAAAAATTATAAAAGGAGAAGAAAGCCATATCTTTTGGGATTAAAGTGCTTTCCGGCGGCACCTTTTAAGAGGTATAATTCAAAGAAGGAAGTACCTCCAAAAACTAATTCTCAATCTCTCCTTTATTTCATTCTTAGATGTGTAATTTAAGGTGAGGAATTCTGTATGTATGAATGTTTTACCTAGAATGTTACATATGAAAGAAGACTGCTATAACTGACAATTTTAAGAAACATCTATTTTTCCCGGTTAACTCTGCATTTGACAGCACTGTGCCCAATTTGTTCTAGTGCTACCCCTGTATAGTCAATTTCTGCCTTTTGCTTTGCTCTTCCCACAGCAACAAGGGAGAGACCATAAGAAAATGTGACCACAGACCTTCAGGTGCAGCACCTGGAACTAATTTTAATTTGGTTTTTTTTTTTTTTTTGAGATCAGCTGGCTAAAAGGACATCAATGCCAGTTGCCATAATTGAGCGAGAACTCTGTCTCTTTGGATTATTTGTTTCTACAAATAGCTAGCACAATGGTGCCCTAATTCCTCATTGGGACCACTAGGCACTACTGCAACATAAACATCAGTAGCAACAGCTTGCTGCTCTAATAAGTCCATGACTTGTCCAACATTTTCATTTAGTCTTACCTCCAAGAGAGCAAATGCTCACGAAAATATATACAGCATTCATCACCCAGCTCCATCGAGAAGACATTTTGCTTACAGTTCCTGTAAAAAACAAAGATTTTATGTAGTTTCCATTTACTGCATTTGTGTGACCACCAGCTTCCCTTTATTGCTGCAACCCTTGATACCCTGCAGAAAGTCAGGATGGGAGAAGGAAAAGAACATCCCTTTTTTCCAATCACTGCAGGAAAAACCAGCAAGCCTACGTGATATAAATAGACGGGCATGGAATTAAAACTGTGCGTCTACGCACTGAACTCAAGTCTGTACACTCAAACTTCTATTTCATATGAGGCAAAGTATGCAAGCAAAGTATTTCATTCTTTAGGAAAGCTGTTGGGTTTCTAGACTTCTGTCTGTCTCCAAGTCTTTCTTTTTTGAGCTTGGAATTCTGGGATCATTAAAACAAAACACTAAGGCTTAGACTAAGGCTTTGTCTACACTACGAAATTAGGTCGAATTTATAGAAGTCGGTTTTGTAGAAAGCATTTTTATACAGTTGATTGTGTGTGTCCCCACACAAATACTCTAAGTACTGAGGCAACCGTCGACTTCCGGAGCGTTGCACTGTGGATAGCTGTCCCACATTTCCTGCAATCTCCGCCACCCATTTGAATTCTGGGTAGAAATCCCAATGCCTGATGGGGCTAAAACATTGTCGCGGGTGGTTCTGGGTACATATCGTCAGGTCCCCCATACCTGCCTCCCTCCCTTCCTCCGTGAAAGCAACGGCAGACAATCGTTTCGCACCTTTTTTTCTGGGTTACCTGTGCAGACGCCATACCATGGCAAGCATGGAGCCTGCTCAGCTAACCTTCACCGTATGTCTCCTGGGTGCTGGCAGACGCGGTATTGCATTGCTACACAGCAGCAGCTTATTGCCTTTTGGCAGCAGACAGTGCAGCATGACTGGTAGCCGTCGTCGACATATTCCTGGGTGCTCTTTTAACCGACCTCGATGAGGTCAGGGGCGCCTGGGCAAACATGGGAGTGACTCAGCCAGGTCATTACCCTTTTAAGTTTCATCTCATGGCGATTCAGTCTTACCAGCAGTCCTACTGCACTGTCTTTTAATGAGCAGCCAGGAGATGACGATGGCCAGCAGCCATACTGCACAGTCTGCTGCCAGCAAGATGTATAAAGATAGATGAAGCGGATCAAAACAAGAAATAGACCAGATTTGTTTTGTATTTATTTTCTCCTCCCTCCCTCTGTGAATCAATGGCCTGCTAAACCCAGTTTTGAGTTCTGTCCTTGAGGTTTTGAGTTCTATCCTTGAGGGGGCCATTCTGTTTCTCGCAAAGCCACCCCTTTCGTTGATTTTAATTCCCTGTAAGCCAACCCTGTAAGCCATGTTGTCGGTCGCCCCTCCCTCCATCAGAGCAACAGCAAACAATCCTTTCGTGCCCTTTTCCCTGGATTGCCCGAGCAGGAGCAGACGCCATAGCACAGCAAGCACGGAGCCCGTTCAGCTCACCGCAGCAGTTATGACTATTGTAAACACCTCGCACATTAGTGTGCCTTTTACACAGAACCAGCACCTGAAAAACCAGGCGAGGAGGCGACGGAAGCGCAGTGATGAGGACATGAACACACTTTTCTCTAAAACTGTGTTCCCCTGCAATTTGGAGATCATGGTGTTAATGGGGCAGGCTCATGCCATGGAACGCTGATTCTGGGCTTGGGAAACAAGCACAGACTGGTGGGACCGTATAGTCTTGCGGGTCTGGGATGATTCCCAATGGCTCCGAAACTTTCGTATGCGTAAGGGAACTTTCATGGAACTTTGTGACTTGCTTTCCCCTGCCCTGAAGCGCAAGAATACCAAGATGAGAGCAGCCCTCACAGTTCACAAGCGAGTGGCAATAGCCCTGTGGAAGCTTGCAACGCCAGACAGCTACCGGTCAGTTGGGAATCAATTTGGAGTGGGCAGATCTACTGTGGGGGTTGCTGTGATGCAAGCAGTCAACGCAATCATTGAGCTGCTTCTATCAAAGACAGTGACTCTGGGAAATGTGCAGGTCATACTAGATGGCTTTGCTGCAATGGGATTCCCTAACTGTGGTGGGGCTATAGACGGAACCCATATCCCTATCTTGGGACCGGACCACGAGGGCAGCCAGTACATAAACCGCAAGGGGTACTTTTCAATAGTGCTGCAAGCACTGGTGGATCACAAGGGACGTTTCACCAATATCAGCGTGGGATGGTCGGGAAAGGTGCATGACACTCGCGTCTTCAGGAACTCTGGTCTGTTTAAATGGCTTCAGGAACGGATTTACTTCCCAGACCAGAAAATAACTGTTGGGGATGTTGAAATGCCTATAGTTATCCTTGGGGACCCAGCCTACCTCTTAATGCTCTGGCTCATGAAGCCGTACACAGGTAGCCTGGACAGTAGTAAGGAGCTGTTCAACTATAGGCTGAGCAAGCGCAGAATGGTGGTACAGTGTGCATTTGGACGTTTAAAGGGTTGCTGGCGCAGTTTACTGATTCGCTCAGACCGCAGCAAAACCAATATTCCCATTGTTACTGCTGCTGCTTGCTGTGTGCTCCACACTCTCTGTGAGAGTAAGGGGGAGACGTTTATGGCGGGGTGGGAGGTTGATGCAAATCGCCTGGCTGCTGAATACACGCAGCCAGACATGAGGGCGGTTAGAAGAGCACAGCAGGAAGCGCTGCGCATAAGAGAAGCTTTGAAAAACAGTTTCATGACTGGCCAGGGTACTGTGTGACACTTCTGTTTGTTTCTCCTTGATGAAAACCCACCCCCTTGGTTGCCTCTAAATTCCCTGTAAGCCACCTGCCCTCCCCGCTTCAATCACAGCTTGCTTGCAAAGGAAATAAAGTCACTATCATTTAAAAAACATGTATTCTTTATTAATTGGGAGATAACTCACAAGGTAGCCCAGGTGGGGGTGTGGGAGGAGGGTAGGAGGGAAGGAAAAGGCCACTTTAAAACTTGTTGAATGCCAGCCTTCTGTTGCTTGGGCTGTCCACTGGGGTGGAGTGGTTGGGTGCCAGGAGCCTCTCGCCCCCTCCCCCCCCACGTTCTTCAGCATCTGGGTGAGGAGGCTATGGAACTTGGGGAGGAGGGAGGGCGGTTAAGCAGGGGCTGCAGCGGCAGTCTGATCCTGCTGCCATTCATGAACCTCCACCAGACGCCAGAGCATGTCCGTTTGATCCCGCAGTAGCCCCAGTGTTGCCTCATGCCTCCTCTGATCTTGCCGCCACCTCTCCTCACGTTCATTGGCCACTGTCCTGTACTCTGCTATTGTGTCCCGCCACGCAGCTCTGTCAGTGCCGGACGACTGCATGAGCTCAGAGAACATTTCATTGCGTGTGCGTTTTTTTTGCCGCCTTATCCGAGATAGCCTCCTTCCTCCGTCCCAAAGGCTTGAAACATTTTCAGCTGCTGGAGGAAAAACAGGAAGTGAAGTATTTAAAAAGATACATTACAGAACAATGGCTATACTCTTTTACGGTGAACAACACATAGCACATGTGATTTTGGTACAAGGTCGCATTTTGCATCTTATATTGAGTGCCTGCGGCTTTGGTGTTAGAGATCACACACGCAGTGCCAGGCAACAGAATTCGGCTTGCAGGTGGCCATGGTAAGCCACAGTCTTTCGGCTTCTGCAACCTTCATAACAGCAGTACCCTCCTTTCCCATACCAAGCAAAGCCCATTGAGTTGGCCATTTAGTGCTGCGTTTTTTTTGTTACTGTGCAGCAGCGGAAACCAAACTAACCCCCTCCCCCCATCCAATTCTCTGGGATGATCGGTTTTCCCCTCCCCCCACCACCTGGCTGGTATCAGGGAAGATCCCTGCTAGCCAAATGCGAACAGCTCAGCGCCAATGCCATGCCCCCCCCCGCCCCCCCCCACCGCGTGGCTAACTGCGGGGAGGATTTCTTTTCAGCCACAGGCAAACAACCCAGTAGGAATGGTTACTTCTGAATGTGCCCTTAATTAAATTCCCCTATTTCAACCAGGTTACCATGAACGATATCACTCTCCTGAGGATAACACAGAGATAAAGAACGGATGTTGCTTGAATACCAGCAAAAACCGGGACCATACGCTGCCAGGCTTTGTCATGCAATGATACCAGATTACTTGCTACCAGAATGGCATGGTAAAGTGTCCTACCATGGAGGACGGAATAAGGCTGCTCTCCCCAGAAACCTTCTGCAAAGGCTTTTAGAGTACCTCCATGAAGCTCTCCTGGAGATGTCACTGAAGGATTTCTGCTCCATCCCCAGACACGTTAACAGACTTTTCCAGTAGCAGTACTGACCACAAATGCATTCCAAGTCCTCAGGGCTACTTAATCATTAAAAAATGTTTGCTTTTATAACATATATTATATTTAAGAAGGTACACTCACCAGAGGTCCCTTCTCCGGCTTCGTTGGGTTGGGAGGGTATTTCAGTCAGGGTGATAAAAAGATCCTGGCTGTCGGGGAGAATGGTGTGCTGTGTGCTCTCCCCAAGCTCGTTGACCTCCTCATCTTCCCCATCTGCAAAATCCTCAGGTATAGCGGAGAGTACCCCATCATCGGAGTCCACGGACAGGGGTGGGGTAATGGTGGCGGCCCCCCCTAGAATTGCATGCAGCTCAGCGTAGAAGCGGCATGTCTGGGGCTCTGTCCCGGAGCATCCATTTGATTCTTTGGTTTTCTAGTACGCTTGTCTGAGATCCTTAAGTTTCATGTGGCACTGTGTTGCATCCCTGATGTAGCCTCTGTCCCTCATGGCCTCAGATTTTTTGAAATGTTTTGGTATTTAGTCTTTTGGAACGTAGTTCTGATAGCACAGATTCTTCTCCCCACACAGTGATCAGATCCTGTATCTCCCGTTCGGTCCATGCTGGCGTCCTTTTGCGATTCTGGGACTGCATGGTTATCTGTGCTGATGAACTCTGCATGGTCACCTGCGCTGATGAGCTCGCCTGGCCAAACAGGAAATGAGATTCAAAAGTTCCCAGGGCTTTTCCTGTACACCTGACCAGTGCATTTGAGTTCAGAGTGCTGTCCA